GCGGGGACCACAAGCACAGCTTCTGCAGCTGGAGCTGCCATGAGTCTCAGAACTTCATCTTATTGTGTGTTCCATGTTTTATTTTGGTTTGTAAATTTGTAGAATTAAATCATTTTCCTTGTTGTGGAGGAAAGAGCTGTGTTTTCAGGTCTACTTGACTTGTGCCCAGGGATGGGGTGGGGGGCATCTGAGGGTCCCCCCCTACACCATCTCCCACTCTCGACACACATGGGGCTCACTGGGCTCTGGTTTTGGGGGGCTGGTGGGGGCAAGGTCAGTTGTGGAATCTTCGGAGCTGGAGACCCATTTCTGTGTTGGGATGAGCAATGCCTTCCTGCCCCGCCTCAGGCATCCAGACCAGCTGTCCACGCAGGCCCTGGCCCCAACCCCAGCCCAGGTGTGCTGGCAGCTTCAGCAGGTGTTCATACAAGGTGGTTAAGAGTTTTAAAATGTATTAAAAGTATTCTTGGAGGAAAGCTCCTGAGTCCTTTCAGTGGCCTGGGACCATGTCTGGGAGGGGAGTCGCAGGCCCCCCGGGCTCTAGGGGGACATGATGGGGTGGGTCAGTCTCTTCCCCGGGCAGGAGGGGTGCTCCTACCTCCCAGGGCCTCCACTCTAGCAAGATGGTCCCTTGGCCCCCACTTGCCCTGGCACCCTGTGCCAGTCCTCGCAACCCCCAGCCATACCCATTTGCAGAAGATCCCAAAGGCCCATCCCACCTCCTTCAGGAAGCCCCCGTTGCCTCCCTCCCCCATCTCTGAGCAAGTCCTAGACAGAGATCCCAGGATCCTGGGCTACCCCATGAGCTGCACCTGGCACTGGGGCCTTCCCTCGTCCCACTTTCCCAGGAGCCACCTCGGCAAAGCCCATGCCATCCTGGGCTGTATCTGTTGTCTGGTATGTGCGGAAGCAGGGGATCCCTGATCCTGAGGACGCCCACCTCCGGAGGGTCAGGGGCTAGGGTGTGTCCACCTGCCCAGACTGGCTGCCACCACCCTCCCAAGAAAGAGCAGGAAACATCAAGGAGAAAGTGCTTTATCAGCCGTGCTCCAAGTGGGCTCAGCCCCGAACTCGGACTCGCCAGGAGTAGGTGGTCAGCACGCGCTGCTGCCTGCGCACCACACAGGTGTAGGTGCCCTCGTTGACAGCGTTGGCGATGATGCTCAGGTGCGCCTCGCCCAGGGCCAGGTAGCCGGGGTAGGAGAACTCCAGTGGCTCCTGGTCCTTGTACCAGCTGTGGAGAGGGGGTGGTCTCCTGTAGGCTCAGCCCTCGCTGCTGCCTGGGCTGCCCACCCCGAGGACCACCAGCCTGCCCACTCACTACACTTTCCCCTTCTTGTGGAGAATCTTCTGGCCACAGCGAAAGGTCACGTTCCTGCCCTCAGGCACCAGCCTGGTTTTCGTCCTGGGGGGCGGTGGGGTAGCGGCCACCGTGGGGAAGGGGAATTCTGCTCGGGTTGGGGGGAAGAGCCCCGTCAGTGTCCCCCCAGCCCAGACCATGGCCAAGACCCGGCTCCCACGCAGCCCTGTCCCGGTCTTGGGCATCACCGTAGCAGAAGTCGCAGCTGCTAGGGCAGAGCCTCTTCATGAGCCGCCGGCGAGCGTCGCAGAAGCCCCTCCGCGCCCAGGACGTGCACACAAACAGCCTGTCCAGGCATCCTGCCGGGAGCGTGGGGAGCTCGGCCTGGCTCGGGACCCCCTGGTTACCCCCTCCCGCCCGACAAAGGGACTCACCGTAGAGTCGGTGCAGCCCCCACAGCTCGTCCTGGGACAACGCCTTCCAGCCGCGCAGCGTGGCGTTCAGGTGCATGAGCGCCCGGCCATGCTGCGAGTGCATCAGGCCCAGCGCGTGGCCGATCTCGTGGGCCGCCACGTGCACTAGGTCAGTGAGCCACACGCCTGCGGACCCCGCCGGTCAGCGCCTGGGAACCCCGAGCCCAGCCCCGCCGCCCGTGGCCAGCTCCCCGAGGCCCGGCACATCTGGAGCGCAGCAGCGGAGCCGCCCTCGGCCGCAGCCACGGAAAGATAAGAATGTTCTGGGCCCAGGCAGTGAGCTCGGCCCCCAGGAATGCAGCTCCAGCTACCGCTCCAGCGGCGCAGGGGGATGGGAAGGGGAGTTCAGAGCTGCCGGGACTAGGGGCTCCCACGGGCTCTCCTCCTTGCCTGCTTGACCCCAGTGGCAGCCACCACCCCGGAAAGTCCCTCCTGCCGTCCGCCCCAAATCCCGCCCGCCCGCTGCAGCCCCCGTGCTGCGGGGGAGAGGCCCCCAGAGGCCAGCCTGGAGGGTCACCTTTCTTCCAGCTGTAGCGCGTGGGGCCCAAGACCCAGTACTCGCTGTCGTCGAAGTGGATGCCGCCGTGCGGAGGGAAGAAGGCGTGGGCCAGCTCCCCGGTGGGGCCGTCGAAGCAGTGGTGCAGCGTGGACACCAGGCAGTCGGTGTGGTTGATGGGGTAGAAACCTGCGGGGAGAACGGGGCTGAGAGGCCGGGCGCGCACAGCCGGGCCGGGCTGGGGGCGGGCGCCCACCTATCCGGAGGTCGCTGGGCTGCTCGGGGGCCACCTCGCGAAAGCTGAAGGGGGACACGTCGCTCCACATGCGGAAGGCGGCAGCCAGGGCCCGCCGGGTCTCCTGAGGGCTCAGCAGGTTCCGCGGGAAGGAGAGGATCCTGCGGGGAAAGGTGAGCTCAGTGGGGGGCCGGCCGCGTCCCTCCCCCAGGGCCAAGCGACGGCGCACCTGTACGTGAGATTGAAGTGGTCCCAGCGCAGCCTGGCTGGGGTCAGCGTGTAGCGGCGTCTGCGGGAGGGCAGAGAGCCCGGGACGCGGGTGGGGGGGACGCCCGAGAGGCCCAGCACAGCGACATCTCCCTTCAGGGAAGAAAGTGTGAATGGGAGGCATCGGTGACGGTCCCCAGGGCCAAAAACTGCCCTGGAAAATGGACTGGAAAGAAACGGGGGTGGGGGTGCCCAAGGCTAGGAGCGGGCGTGACGGGTCCTGTCTGCCTGCGGTTTGGGGTCTACTATCCCGTTGTCCGTCCCTGGGAACGCGGCCCAGTGGAGTAGAAGGGGATGGACAGGAGGGCGCGGCCTCCCACCTCTCCCAACAACTGGACACAGGGGCCCTCTGGCCTCGGGACGCACATCCGGATCCTCAAACACCCCACAGACCCCGCATACGTCCTGCAGGCCCCTAGACAGACCAGACCCATAGACGGCAGACCCCAACCCAATACCTGGCCTCCCCGGGCCGCTCACCTGCGCTGCGTTCCCGGCCGGCACCGCCGGGGCCCCCAGCCGGGCCAGCAGCACCAGCGCGGGGAGGAGGCACAGGGCGACCAGCACGGCTCCGAGCCAGCGGCTCTCGACGCCGGCCCCCGTGGCCTCCGAGGGCACATGGCCCCCGCGGCCCATGGTGGACTTGCTGCGGGGCTCAGGGCTGCATGGGGCAGCACCGCGCGGGGGCCCAGGGCCGCAAAGCCGCCGGGGAGGATCCGGAGGGGAAGCAGCGGCTGGGAGGCTCGGGTTACAGCCCCGTGGGGGCGGGGGGGGGGCAGATGGGACGGGAGAGCGGGGCAAGGCTGCCGGTGAAGGGAATCAGCTGGCCCGTCCGCTGGCCGAGCCGCCTGCTGCCTCGAGCGGGGGGCATGGGGACCTGGATCCGTTGGCCAGGGGCAGAGGCCTAGGCATGGGCTGCTGGCGGGGTCCTGGGAGTGGGGGGCGAAGAGGGCCCCACGCAGCCAGGGAAGGGCAGCGCCAGAGCTCCCGCTTCCGAAAGGGCAGCCAGTGGGGGGGGTCCCCAAGCTGGCTGGGCACTGAATGGCCTGGTGGCTTTTTCCCAAACGGAATCCCCAACAGTCCCCTGAGCCCTACATGAGGGGAGCCTCCATCCCAGCCCAGGCGACTGAGCGGGGCCGCAGGGGACGCGCCGCCCGCCTGAGTGTCCCTGAGAGATGGGAGGGGACGGCAGGATGGGGACGTGGCAGTGAGTACGGTGAGGTGAGGGGGGTGCGTGGGTGGGGAAGGGCTGCAGAGGGTGTCAGGCTGCGGGGTCTCCCCGAGGGCCGGGAAGGGGCAGGCACTGGCTCGGGAACCCCCGTGGGGCGCAGCACGGGAGGTGTAGGGTGTATGGCTCCTGAATCCCCCTCTCCACGCTAGGCTCCAGCAAAGAGGAGAGGGAGACGGGAGGGGAACAGGAAGCCGAGCCAGGCGCCGGGCGTGGAGGTCTGGACCGTCCTGACTGTGGCAGGGGCGGGGAGCGGGTGCGCAGCAGCCCGAAGGCTTGACAGGGAGGCCGGCGTTCAGGCGCGAGCGGCTCTGGACTGGGAACCCAGGCCCGGCACCAGCGTCCCACGGGGCGGGGATAGAGAATGGGGCAGAGGAGTAGGAGGTTCGGAGCCAGACAGGCCTGGGTCCGGTCCCTCCCCGTTTTCCGCGCCGACCTCGGGCCCAGGGTGACTGCCGCGGCCGAGCCAGCTGGGTCAGCGCCAAGCAGATGGCGGCTGCCGCGGGCGGTTCTTGGAAAGCGCGAGCCGCTGGGCCCGGCGGTACATTTGCTCCGACACCGCCCCCCACGCCCCGCCCGGCTCCCCTCCCCCACGCCACGCCACGCTCGCCCCCGCCTGCGGGCGCCCTTCCCGGCTCTGGGCTCCCAGACCTGCCTGGGACGACCCCAAATCCCTCCTGGGCCAGGACCCCACAGGGATTTGGGGTCCTGGGGAGCGTTGGGGTCACTAGGTCAGAGGGCGATCCCTGCAGCCGCCCCCAAGACGCAAGAGAGAGGGGGACGGGCCCGGGGGCGAACGCGGGCGCCTGGGTGGCGGCTGCGCCCGCGCCCGAGGGAGTCCCGGCCTGGAGGCCGCAGTCTGGGCAGGAATCTGGATCTGAGAGCCGGGGGTGGGCAGGGCGGACCCCGAGGGAAGGGGAGGTCCCCGAGGCTCGCCCGCGTGTCCCCAGGGGAGGACCCCAGAGGCGCCCGGCCCCCCCAGGCAGACAACAGAGGCAACGTCGGAGAATCTTTTTATAAAACACACGGCGGGGGCTCGCGAAGGCAGCTCGGGCGCGGCGAGCGCGCGGCTCACACGAAGATCTGGATGCGGTCACGGATGGGCTGGCGGCAGATCGGGCAGGCGCTGAGCGCGGCGCCGCAGGGAGCGCATGCGCCATGGCCGCACTGGAACACGAGGCGGATGTGGCTGTCGATGCAGATGGGGCAGGTGATGCGCTCCTCCATCTGCCGGTAGCGGCTCTGCAGCTCCTCCACCAGCTGGCGCGGCGGGCCGGGGGTAGGGGCTGCGCTCACCACCTCGGAGCCGTCTGCAGGGTGGGGGGCGGGTGTGAGCTGGGAGCCCGGGGGCAGCGGGGACCCGGGGTGGAGTGTCATCTGGGACGGGTTGACCTGGAAGGGGAGCGGGTGCGGGTTGCGATCTGCAGGTGGGTGTGACCTGGAGGCAGGGCTGGGGCCGCCTGCGGGCTGGATGTGAACCCTGGGCGTGGGGCTTGAGGTGGTGGGGCGGAGTCAGGGCTGCAGGTGGGGTGTGACCTGGGGCGGGTGTGATATGGAGGCCGTGCTATGGATGGGGTGTGACCTGGGAGGAACTAATATCCAGCGAGGCTGGGGTGTGTTTCGGGGAGTAGGGTGTTACCTGGAGGTGGGGCTGGGGGGCAGGGTGTGAGTCTTGGGAGGGTGGGGCGTGACCTGGGGAAGGGCAAGTAGAAATATGGGTGGGGCCGGGGCTAGAAGGACCCCGGGTCGCCAACAGGAGCAGGAGGCCCCTTTGGGGCACCGAGCCTCACCCACCTGGGCGCAGTTTCTTGCTGACGACCACCTGGCACCTGATGCACTTCTTCATCCTGCGCGCGCACTCTGCCGAAGGAAGTGCGCGGTGGGCTAGGGCCGCACTGCCCCGACCCCCGACCTGGCACCCTCCACCCTCAATACTCCACCCTCCACTCACCCTCGCACACCGTGCGGTGCTGACACGGTGAGAAGAGCACCAGCAGCGCCAGCTCGGAGCACACCAGGCATTCGGCGGCCTCGGGCCCCGGCGCGGCGCCCACGTGCAGGTTAGTCACGGTGTTGGGGGTCCCGAGCGCGTGCCTGGTGCCCGGGGCCGCGCCCCCTCCCGCCTGCCGCTCCCTGCAGAGGGAGGAGGCGGCTTGAGCAGGGCTCAGAGGCCGCGGGGCCCCCCCCCTTTGGCCCCCCCCTCCAGCCGCCCGCGGGCTCACCGGAAGCGCTGGGCGCAGCCCTGCAGGGCCTTGAGCACACGGCCCTCGGCGGCCAGGTCCAGCGGGCTCCGGCCGCGGTGGTTGGTGTAACTCACATCGGCGCCTTCCAGCGCCAGGAAGCAGGCAACCGCCGTGCCCACCGTCAGCTCGGAGCTGCCCGGGAGGCCCGAGGCCTGTAGCTGGGCGGCAGAACAGACGCCGGTAAGGGCGGGTTCCCGCACCCGGCAGCCCCAGCAAAGGGCGCTCCAGATCTCAAATAGAAGGCAGGGGCACCCGTTCCGGGAACCCGGGTGGGACAGACAGGAGGGGCGCCCTGCTGGGTGAGCTGAGACCCTAACCCCGTCCTCTCCCCACCCACGAGCACCACCCCGTCTCCCAGGCTGCTCCGGGGTGCACGCTGAAGGATCACACAGGACTTGGCTTCTGGCCGCTGCACCCCTGGAACTCCTGGCTCACTGGGCCGCCGCTGGAGGGGAAGGTGGACAGTGGCTCAGGCCCCGCCCCCCCGCCTGCAGCCAGCACCACGAAAGCCTCTCCAGTGCCCCGCGTCGCAATTCCTCACCCTGGACAGCAGCTGCAAGGGCCCTGGGTCCCCCCCGGCCCCATCCGCCACCAGGGGTAGCAGCTGCTGACGCTGCAGCGCCACGTGCAAGGCTGTGTCCCCCTCCTCGTCCTCGGCGTTGACACTGCAACCGGCGTCCACCAGCAGCGGCACCAGCCCCACGTGGGCCTGCTGCACCGCTAGGTGCAGGGGGGACTGCAGCTTCCGGTTACGCACATTCACGTCACAGCGGCCCTGGGGAGGGGTGGGCACTGGCTCAGCCCCGGGACCGCGGGCCTCCTGCTCCCCACCTTGGGCCAGCCAGTACCGCGCACCTCCCGGATGAGAATCTGGGCCACCTCGCGGTGGTTGTTGAGGGCTGCCAGGTGCAGCGCCGTGAAGCCGTCCTCCTTCTTGGCGTCCACCAGCTGCCGCGCCCGAGCCAGAATCTTCCTCACAGCTCTGTGGGAGCAGGAAGGTCGGTCTGGGACATGGTGCTGTCCCCAGGGCAGCACGGCAGGAGACTGGCGACAGCGGCGTGCCCAGCCCACACTCACAGTACGTGGCCCTTGAGGGAGGCATGGTGCAGAAGGGTGAAGCCCTGGCTGTTGGTGGCGGTGACGTCGATGCTGGGCACCTCGGTGAGGACCTCGACAATGCCACTGGCACCAGTGCCCGCCGAGATGGCAGAGTGCAGGGGCGTGTCTGAGTGGGCGTCCTGCCGGGGTGGAGTCACCGGTCACCTGGGGGGAACTTCCGTTTGGGTCAAGGGCCAGGGTACGCAGGGGCTGGCACTCACAGGCAGGTTGACATCACAGCCGCGCCCGCACAGGGTCCGCACCACCTCCAGGAAGCCCCTCTGCACGGCCACGTGCAGCGCTGTGCTCTGTGTGCTGTTGATGGCGTCCACCCGGCACCCAGCGTTCAGGAGCACCCTGGCGGCCTCAGGCTGGTTCCTGGGGGAGAGGAAGTGAGCAGGGGACGGCACTATGCCCACCGGCCAGACACCCAGGCACAGCTCCTCCGGACCCCTCCCAGGCCTTACCCCAGGGCCGCATAGTGCAGCGCAGTGTTGCCTTCATCATCCGGCAGGTCCACGCCCGCCCTGGCCTGTAGCAGCAGCCGCACCAACTCCACCTGGCCCAGGTAGGCGGCCACCTGCAGGGCAGTCCTGCCTTGGTTCTTGGTGTCCACCTGCCAGGAAAGCCAGCAGGTAAGTCCCTGGCCCTCTGCCCTCTGGCCGGTGCAGGAGGACGGGGGCAGGAGCTTGCCTGCTCTGGGCGCCTCCGCACCAGGTCCAGAGCCCGGGCTGCGTTCCCCAGCGCCACCTCCACCACCAGCCTTCCCGGGTGCTCCGGGTCACTCTTCTGGGCCCGAAGCTTGTCCAGGGCCACGCTCAGCGAGCCTGGGGGCAGGGCTGATGTTAGCAGTGTCCAGGGCGGCCCCACCTCCCACCGGCCGTGAGCTGGGCCGCACTTTTGTTCTCCCGGGCGCGCTCGGCCACGTCCAGGTTGGTGTCCTCCTCCGGCCGGTAGGCCACGAGGCAGGAGGGGCTGAAGGTCCACCGCTGACCACCGACCGCCACACGCAGGTTCCCATCTCCAAACACTTTCACCACTTTCCCGACGCGGCCCAGGGCCTGGGGGCAGAGGTGGGGGTCACAGAAGGTTGCAGGTGTGGGGGGCAGTGGCCTAGCAGCGGGGGCGGCAGGGGGACTCACGGGGGCCATGTCGTCCGTCCACTCGCCGTGGCCAGCCTGTAGTCGCTTCACTGTGTCAAGGTCGTCGATGACCCGTACCACGTCGCCCACCCAGAAGGAGTGGTGCTGAGCGACAGAGAGGGGCATGAGGGGCCCCCAGCTGTGTGTCGCTGGCCAGGCTCAGAGCGGGAGGGCAACCCTCAGAGCTTAATGAGACAGGCAGGCCTGAGGCAGCCCCAGGTCCGACCCCAAGGACCACCAGAGGCTCTGGTTGGACAAGAGCCCCAGGTGCCCAAGATTTTTCCCCAGCCCAGAGCCATGGGATTAGCATCCAGGCCGACAGAAGCCAGCTCCGGGCAGGTGTGAAGCCCTGGGGCACCATGCACTGGCCAGCAGCAGGCAGCATGGCCAGGACCCGTAAGTCAGTGTGGGGGCAGGGCCCCAGGACTGCAGGGTGCAGGACAGGCCCACTCCACCCCACCTGAGCCCCCCTCTGCTGGGAACCTACTCTACAAGCCTGTCTTGTGAGTCCCTTTGGCTCCTTCTTGAAGGTACCCGTGTGTCCTGGATCCCAGACCCAGAGCTAAGCTCTGACCCCCAGGCCTGCCCCTTCCAGGGCCGTCCAAGATGCCACTGCCGCCACCTCCAGCCCCACCCTGCCATCCTGCTTCCCAAGTGGCCCTCACCATCTCCTCCTCCCTTGGTTCCCTCCACCCTAGGCCAAGCATTCACCTCCCGGTCCTAACCAGCCACCCCCATCGGCCACCTGATGGCACCAAACGGGCATGTTAGGCAGCCCAGCTGCCTCCCTCCCAACGAGCTGTGCTGCCTTCCTGGTGTCCAGGAACGGAGGGAGGCCCTGCCCTGCCCACTCCAGCCAAACAGCTCCCAGAGACACACCATCCTCTGGGTTCCTTCACACCCGACCCCGCTTCTCCTCTACTCCACCCATTAGTTCCTCCCCTTCCTTCAGGGCTGAGGACTCATGGGTGTGGCTGGTACCCTAGTCCTTCCTGTCCTCATAAGGCCAAGAGTGCAAGTGAAAGGGTTACAGAAGTGAACAGATGGGGCGCAGCCCAGTCCCCCAGGCACCTTGGTGAGCGCCCCAGGGTGGAAGGTCCAGCGGGTCTCATGGTTGAACTGTACACGCACGTCCCCGCGGTCCGTGATGCGGTGCACGGTGCCCGTCTGTCCGATAAACTGTGGCGGGTCATGGAACTGTGGCTGGGTCAGGCTGGACACTTGGGGAGGAAGGGGCTGGGGGCCAGAGGGCTGGGCAGGCAGGGCACACAGGGCTCCGCGGTGGGGCAGCTCACCTCTGCCATCCTGGGATTCCAGCCGCCGTGGCCTTCCTGCATCTCCCGCAGGACATCAGTGTCCAGCAGACACTTGACTTTATCCCCGTGCTGGAAGGGCTGGCCATCAGCACTCACCCTGCGCTGCAACGGGGCCGGCTTGCCTGGGGGAGGGTGGTGGGCCAGGCCTCAGACAACAGCCCCTCCCTCCAGGACTTCAGCCAGGGCAGGAGGCTGATGGGGTCAGTGGGACAGCCCCATACCGAGCCTTGGGAGGTGGTCCTTGTAGTAGAAGCCGCCTGCTGCGTCGCCCACACACCTGAGGTCCACCTTGCCCTTGTGGCCCACACGGTACACGTTGGTGGTACCGTCAGCCCACGTCACGCTGGCCACACTCCGGCCTGTCTCCACATCCCAGCCACGGATGTCCACCACACGGCCTGGCTTCCCTTCTCCTCCTGGGGAAAGAGTCCCCGCTGGCAGGCTAAGGCTGTGCCTTCAGGCTGAGCTATAGCCAGCCACAGCCCAGCCCCCACCTCCCTGTCCCCTCTGCCTCAACTTACCATCCTGTGAGCCCCACTCCCAGTCGGGGCCTCGCACCACCTTTGCTCCCTGGAAGATGCCCCTGAGTGGGATCCTCGGGAGGCCCTGGCGGGGACTCAGTGTGACACTGCAAGAGAGCATGTCCTGAGCCACCTGAGAGCGCGGCACAGTGGAGTGGGCCCCTGCCCACCCAGCTTGCTAGGCTCCGCAAGATGGGTCCCAGCTCCCAGCCCCAGCAGGTCAGCGCCCTCCACAGGCTGCAAGGGGATGCCCCTGGGCTCAGGGGCCCGGAGTGAACCTGCGGACCATGTCCCTCCAGGGACTCCCTGATGCCAGGCTAAGGCGGCCAGGCCCACCCTCAGCAAGAATTCTGGGTGCAATCGTTCCTGCCTGCTGCCTCCTAGTGAGCCAGGGCACAGCCTAGCCCAGAGTGGGCTCAGCATGTGGGAAGGGAGGCATGAGGAAAAAAGGCCTGGCCAGCCGCACTCCACACACAGGCCCTGCAGGCAGCCAAGATCCAGACCACAGCTCCCTCCATGTACAGTGAGGGCCAAAGAAGAGAGGGTGACAAGGCAAGGGATGGGGAGGCGCCTCTGGCTGCCCTTGCCCCACACAGGCCAGACTCTCCAAGGCCAATGCCCTTGGAGAACAGCACTGCAGCCTCCAAGCCAGCCCAGGGGCTGCTCCAAACACGAGCCATCCTGCCGTCCTGCCGGAGGTCTCGTGCCTCCATGGGGGACGCTGGCTGCCTGATGGCCATTGCTCCCTGTGGAGCCACAAGCTGGCCACCCTCAGTGCCCCGCCTGTACCTGGCTCTGCGCGCCTGTCCATGGCACCACTGCTTAAGGCCGTGGCTTGGGAGTGGGTAGGAGACAGCGCCCTCCCTGGAGGCTGAGGCCCAGGTGGGCGTCCAAGGCCCCCGAGGCAAGGCCTGGTGCCCGCCACAGGGGGCTGGGCCTGGGACTCACGGGCGTGAGTGGGCCGTCTCGTAGCGGTCGAAGGCGTGGGCGAGCTCGTGCTTGTTGTGCATGTAGCACTGCGTGCAGAGGTCGTAGTCTAGGCAGACGCGGCACTTCCAGCGCATGCCCCGAAGCCCATGCTTCTTGCAGCAGTCACAGATGATGTTGGGGTGCCGGACGCCTGGGGGCAGGAGGGGGTCACAGGGGTGCTCCCACCCCAGGCCCCGCCCATCACACCTGCCCGCGGCACGCACCGATCTGGGCGTTGTCGTACAGCAGCAGGTCGTGCGCACCCTGGTAGCCAGCACGGTAGTTGGTGCGCGTGCCCTGGTCCCACTGCACGACCACCGTGCGGTCGGGTGTGGAGGGGCTGCCGTGGCGGCCAAGCTCCACCACCGTGCCCACGCCACCCTCGCCGCCGTCCTGCTGGCCCCACTTCCAGTCCACACCGCGCACCACTCGCATGCCGACCTGCACGCCCGCCTGGGGGTCTGGGTCCATGGTGGGCGGGGCTGCTTGAGACCTGTGGGCAGAGGGTACTCTCAGACTTTAACCACCACAGGGCACTCTCCCATTCACAGAGTGCTGCACAGGAGAGTGGAGAAGAGGCCCCAAGGGGCAGGCAGACTGGTGCAAGCCCTAGGGCTCAGGAAGGTGGTGAGGAGGCCATAGGGAAGGTGGGCACTGTGCCAACCTGGCACGGGACCCACAGGGCAGTCTGGCCCCTGGGATCAGGGATCCTGGCCCTGGGGCTTCCCTGAATGTCTGCTCTGGTCGGCACACAGTGGCCGTCAATAGGTATTTGTGTGAAATGTGATGCATTTGGATTGTAAATACACAAATAAAGCTTTCTGAAGAAAACCACCATCTCTTCCCGCAGCCAATTACTGTGTTGGACTTCACTAAAGTAAGAGCTGCTGTCCCCCAAGGCACTCACACAGGTGGATAGGCAGCAGCATGTGAACTGGCACCGTGGCACATGACCCTCAGAGAACTGGTGTCCACACAGGGTGAGGAGCTCTTACGACCCACATGAAAACGTCAGACAGCGCAACAGAAAAATGGTAAATGTGGCAGGTGCTATGCAAGACAAGCAGGCATCTCTCCCAGACACTGTTCCCAGGGGCCACCCGCTTTGGTCCTGCATATCAGGGACAGTACGGCGAGCCATAAAGTACCACGGAGCTTCTCTGGAAAAGTGGCCCCGGCCATGCCAGGGACTCACAACAGGCTGGACACTCAAGCAGAGGCAGGTTCCTGGGTCCTCAGGGGCCACTGGGTCCTGACACGGGGCTGAGTCCCAACCAAGCAGACGCGCCCAGCACACAGCGCAGGCTGGAGCTCACCAGCAGATGGGGAGGGGGTGCAGCCAAATGCAAAAGCCATGCCAGGTGGCTCCGGTTATAAAAGGTGCAAATCCAGGCTGCTGGAGTTGGGGATGAAGCCACAGGGCTCGAGGCCCAGGACTGCTCATCCCCAGGCTGGGCGCTGACCCCTAGAGCTCACGCTTCAGACACGAGTCATCGTGGGCCGCTGCTCTCCAGCGTGCCGGCCTGCAGCACGGCCTCGTTAACAAGAGTGGACGTGAAGTTAAGAGGGAAAATCAGGAGGTGGAGGCTGCAGCTGGCTGTGATCGCACCACCGCACTCCAGCCTCGCCAGGAGAGTAAGGCCCTGTCTGATAGGGGAGGGGAGGGCCACCATCACTCATTTCTCATTGAACCACTAGGACCCCACGGCCAGGAAAGGAGGCAGCCCAGGGGCACTGTCTGAGGCAAAGGTGCAGAGACACCACAGTCCTGGGAAACTGGAGCAGCACCTGAGGCTGGCTAGATGTGGCTGACATCCTCCACTGCCCAGGTCCACACGCCAGCCCTCCACCTGGACCAAAATGCAGTCCAGCACCTTCCATCTCTAGCCCAGCCAGTTCAGGAAGCATCCTGGCCCAGGGGAGCCTGCAGGTGGGTGACGAGGAGGGCCCACAGCAAAGCCCCCACTGCTGCTCTGGCTCAGGGGTCTGAGCCCCTCAGGTTGTCCCCCTAGTGAGGCCCGGCGGGGAGCCCAGACCCACTCCAGAGATTGAGTCCAGCGCAGGGGCTCTGCCTGCAGGGCTGCACTCCCAATCCGTGCCCAGCTGTGAGTCGGAACACAGGCAGGACTCCTGATTCTCAGGGGTACAAACCTGGCCAGCTTGGCCTCTGCAATTCTCCTTCCTCACCCCACCCAGGACCACTAGGGCTTCCACAGGAATGGGTGCTGTTTTAAAAGCACAGCTTTCCCTGGCCGTGCATGGTGGCTCACACCTGTAATCCCAGCACTTTGGGAGGCCGAGGCGAGTGGATCACCTGAGGTCAGGAGTTCAAGATCAACCTGGCCAACATGGTAAAACTCTGTCTCTAGTAAAAATACAAAAATTAGCTGCTGTGTTTTGGTGGTGCATGCCTGCAGTCCCAGCTACTCAGAGGCTGAGGCAGGAGAACCGCTTGAACCTTGGAGGCAGAGGCTGCAGTGGTCCGAGATTGAGATACTGCACTCCAGCCGGGGCGACAGAGTGGGACGCCGTCTCAAACAGAAAATAGAAAATAAAAGCACAGCTTTCCCTGTCAGTGACTAAAAGGAGCCCACCCAGCAGCTGGGCTCTGCTGCTTCAGGGAAAACCCGCATGGCCTTATCTGTCCAGAGGCCTCACCTGTTGGGTGACACTGCCTCCCTCACCTGGAGCCTCTGAGACCTTCCCAAGGTGTGCACCAAGCCTGGGACAGGGCAGGCTCCAGCACGAGGGGTTTCTTTTGCCTATGTCACCAGTGAGCCCCAGATAAGGGGAAGGGTCCTATGGGCGTCTCCATAGCCATCAGGTAAAGTGGCTGGCTCTGCCCTCCCCTGCAGCCTCCTGGCTGGGCCTCCACATCATCAGCTGCCACAGGTGGCAGAGAGCAGCCCCACCCTGTGCTCCAAGGCCCCACAGAGCTAGGAGCCCAGCCACCACCCAGGGTGACCCAGGCCCTCCCATGGGCCCCTGTGGCACCATTCCCCTCAGTGGGGCCTCTGAGGGCAGCCCCAGCCTGTGCTCTTCCTGTGCTGGGCCCGACCCCTACCAGCTTCAGCTTTGACTAAATGGCTGAGTGAGTAACAAAACGCAAGAAGCCGAGAGAATCTGTGCCAGGCTCCTGTGATGGCAGCAGCCCCCTTGTCCAGAGGACCCACCCAGCAAAGGCCACTTCCGGTCAGCCCAGCGCTGACTGTGCCTCACCCAGAGCAGGTCCAGGTGGTCACAGGTCCACCGGCCAGCCCAGCTCCACAGCCCCACCCTGATCATGACCCTTGACTCTCCAGACCTCTGCAGACCCTCCCATCCCCACTGGGGGATACCCTGGAGGGAGGTCACCCCTCCTGCCCCAGCAGCTTCCCACTGCCTGCTCTTCCACCAGCCAGGGGAGGCTCTTGGCGGCTCCGGCTCCCGGGATCCATGCACAGACCTCAGCTTCTGCCCGTGGCACACCCAAGAGGGCCGAGGCCTGGCCTGGCTGAACTCCCCAACTCCAGCCTCCTCTGCACAGGGCCCTTCCCCACAGAATGGCACAGGCAGGGGAGGCCAACTCGGCAGTCTGCCTGCAGGGGGGATGGGTGGGGCACTGCTCCTTAGGGGTGCAGGCCCCACCCCCTGCCAAGCTGTCCACCTCCACCAGAGCCACACGCAGCCTCCTTGCCAGGAGCCCACCATAATTGGCCACAGCCAGGGTCATGCTGGCCGGGGCCTCCTCCCTCTCTTTAGCCAGAGGTGGACTCGCTACAGGCAGCCGCAGAACAGACTGGAGGTCTCTGCTAGCAGGGGACACCCACCTGCCGAGACCCGAGATGGGGCTGGCAACTGAGATGAAGGACTTGGGGCAGGAAAAGCCAATGCTGCAAGCGGACAGTGTCACCCTCCTGCTGTGGGGTGGGGGCTGTCTCTGGCGCTGTGATCCCTCTGCTTTGAGGGGGGTGGAGGTGCCCTCTGTCTCCGAGCCCAGACTCTCAGCCACAGCCAGCCAGCCCAGGCTGGCGGCCACGTCTGTGAGACCCACTGGCCGATTCACTGCGGCTGTATGCCACTGGACCTTTCCAACAAGACGAGCCAGTGTACCCTGTGCCCAGCCTTGCCCTTGGGGGGAATGGGCAGAGAACAGATGTCTGGGGGTGGGTCACTGGTGGAGCCTCTGGGAATCAAGACCAAGTCTCAGTGGGCCCCCGCATCAGGGGGCAGCAGGGTAGGTTGCCAAGGCCATCAGCCTGAGACAGGGTGGCCGGTGCCCAGACAGCACCTGTCTGCAGTACAGCCTGTATTTTTAGCACAGCCAGGCAGCTCTCCAGCCCTGGCTCACAAAGTGCCACCCTCCCAGAGGCTGCCCTCATGGGAGCCCACCAGAGTTGGGACACAACTGAGCCAGACACGGGCAGGGCTTCCTCCCTGGCCTCACTTCTTGTGCCTGAAACCAGCCCCCAACTTGCCAAGGGCTGCCCCCCAAGGGAGAGGAGTACAGAGGAGCCCGGCAGGGGAGACGGTTGTGCCCGCCCACTCCACCTCTCCCCTGGCGCTGGATGTGAGCCCAGGGCCTGCAGCCCCAGTACCCCCTCTGTAGGGCCCCAACCCGAGGGTCTGGGGTATGTCCTCCCCTGCTTCCAAGGCAGCCCCTTTGTCCAGCATGGCACTGCCCTGGCGTAGCCGCCTCATCTGAGCGGGGCCTCCACCTGTGCCTGCCTGCCAACCCTTCTGCGGTGCCACTATGGAGGCAGACCACATGTAGGCGGCTCCCAGGCTCAAGAGCTCAGCATCCCAGACCCTCTGTGGAGGCCAGCAGCTTTTCTCTCCTCAGCTCCTTCCTGCATCTGCCCACCTGCCTTCCTCACTATCACCCCAGGGCCAGCAGTCACCCAAGACCACCTACCATCTGGCTCCCTGCTCCTGACACCCCAGCCCCGGGGCTCAGTACCTGCCTCTAAAGACCTCCCTGGTGTGCGTGCGGCAGGGTTAGGAGGCAGTGCTGAGACCCCCACAGCCAGGAAGGAGGAGCACCCTAGCCACGACCCAACACTTATGCCCCTCCATCTGGGAGGTCCCTTCTCACAGGGGACAGAGCAAACCTGCTAAGGGGCTAGAAGATCCTGTCCACCAGAGAGGGGCCTGCCCCATCCCCACTGTTCACGGGAGCTGGGGGCTGTGGGGTCGTACAGGCAGCCTGGCCATCTCAGAAGGAAGCTTGTGGACAAAAGGGCTCATCCCTGGGGCTTCCCTGACCATCCTGTCCTCCTCAGGCCATGGGACAGGCGCTCCCAGGTCTGGGATGGGGCCAGATCAAGCCAGCTAAGAGGGCACTGGTCACAGGCCCCATCCTCTGGGCAAGCCTGGGAGCAGCTTGGATCTGGGGACAGCGCTTACCTCGCCCGATGCAGACCAGGTGAGGAATTCCCGGAGATGCGCAGGTGAGGAAAGCCGGGTTAGGGCTAGGAATGAGGTGGGCAGTCCTGGAGACCAAACCCTCTGGGACATGTTCCCCCAAGGGCCCCTCACTCCCTCTGCCTGCACCTGGGACTTGCCCAGCATCCATCCCATCCTGGAGAGAAGGCAGCCTCTAGGCTGCCCACCCCTGTTTCTCTGTTCTAACCTCACAAGGCTCCAGGTACAGAGGAGGGGACCTGTGGGACCTGTGAGCCCTGATCACCTGCCCACAGCGGGCCAGCTCTGGGCCAGAGGCTGCTCTGGGAAGTGCAGATGCCCAAGGCTAGCCCTGCCCTCATGCCAACCCAGCCCAGGCTCTCCAGAAAGATGAGCCAGAGACAGCCCAGCCACAGCCCAGCACTGGTGGAGGGGCTCCAGGAAGCACAGTCCTGCCCAGCAGACCAGAGAGCGGCAGCTGTACAGCCCCAGGTGTACGTGGCTGTGGACATGCTTGCAGGGCTGACGCTCTTTCTCTTGTAAACACAGCCCAGGCTTCCGCTCCTGGGTGCCGCCTCACAAGGGGCATCATCATATCAGTAAGAAACTGACTCAGAGTTACCAAATGTTTTTCCTTTGCCAGAAATGCTGGACTCTGCCATCTACCCAGAGTTCGTAGGCCATGCCCCCCCGTGGGCATCTGAACCCCCACCCCAGGCAACTGCTCCCGATGTTTAAAATGACAGAGGAAGTCAGGACATGAAGACTCGCAACAGATGTGCTTTGGCAAATCAGAACTTACCTTAGAGCACACACCAGCCTCAAGCCAGCATCCCAGGCACTTAATTGCTACTTCCTGGGTCACAGACTCCCTCAGCTACCAGCTCTCCTGCTGGAAACCAGAAGCTACCACCGACACAATACAGCAAACCCACAGGCAGCCAGCAAGCCGGTCTGCAGAAAAAGGGTTTTTCAAAGGCAGTTTCACACATTTAGCATTACCGTATTTTTTTTTCTTTTGAGATGGAGTCTCACTCTTGTCACCCAGATTGGAGTGCAGTGGTGTGATCTCGGCTCATTGCAACCTCTGCCTCCCAGGTTCAAGCGATTCTCCTGCCTCAGCTTCCTGAATAACTGGGATTACAGGCATGTGCCACAAGGCCCCGCTAATTTTTGTATTTTTAGTAGAGATGGGCCATTTACCGTCTTAACCACACAAGTGGCCACTGGGTCTGTTCTACTGCTTTTAGTTTCTTTTCTTTTTTTTTTTCAAAACAAAGAAGGGGTTTCACCATGTTGGTCAGGCTGGTCTTGAATTCCTGACCTCATGATTTGCCCACCTCGGCCTCCCAAAGTGCTGGAATTACAGGCGTGAGCCCCGCACCCAGCCTGGTTTCTCTTTTTCAGGAGAAACTGACAGCTCTCAGAGGACAGGAGGATTTCTGAACCATCAATCAGGGCCCCAACCCGAGGGTCTGGGGTCTGTGTAGCAGAAGTGTTCCCTTATTGCAGATACTTTATTGGAAAAGCTTTAAAAGCCATAAAAACCAAAATCTATTTAGCAAGGAAGTTAGCAAATTGCCTTTATTCAGAAGAAGAAAGTGATGTGGAGCTGGGACTGGACATGAGGCTGCCCTCCTGGCAGCTGCAGCAGTGCCTCATGGCCCCGAAATGCCGATGTGTGGCACTTCACAGGCCATGGAGCAGCTCCAGCTAACGCAGGTGGACATCCCGGGTGCCCCAGGGAGTCCAGGCCCACCGAGGAGTGGGATGAAGCGCTGAGACGGGAGGCCAGCATGGAGACACCTACTGGGGGAACGCCCAGGAGCGCTGCGGCCACCTCCAATCCTGCCCATCAGGGTGGAGACCTGCAAGCACCCTGCAGGCTGGGGTGTCATCCCCACTCACTGCCCAGGGCTGCCCTCGGCCAGCAGAGAGCCACATTCAGACACCTGTTGCATGTGAAGCAACAGGCCAGGGTGGAAACGGGAGAGAGGGGAACTTCCGGAAAGGGCCAGGCTCGCCGGTGCTCCTGCCCCAAGCCTGCAAGTGCCTATCAGGGGCCTGTCTAGCACCTCTGCTTATTTTCTCCGTGGGTTCAGAACTCAGATGGGAGACACGGGATACTCACCACTCCCCTCCACTCACATGCATGCTCAGACACAAACACAGCCCCTCTGACGTGGCTTCCAGGGAGCCCCAGGGTGGAAGCACCACGTGCAAACGATCAGGCCGCGGACGGTCAAGAGCTCACCTGTCCGGCCGTCCAGTAGCCCGCCCGGCCGCCTTGAGACTCTTGGGCTGCAGGCCTGATGCCTGGAGACCTTGGGACTAGCCTCTAGCCTCGCTGGGCTTCCAACCCTGTGGCCGAGGGGAGATGCCAAGATGTAGTTAGCACCTCCACCCGCGGCTCGGTCGCCTGTCTGCCCCCGGGGCTGCCCGCCGGCTCGACGTCCACTCAGGCTACGGCCGCGACACCCAGGGCTGCCGCCTGCGCGGATGAGCTCCCTAGGGTGTGGGGTGCGCAGGAGACACCAGCGCCAGACCCGTAATTGCGTGCGCCCGGGGTCCACCGGCCGCGGCTCGCAGACGTCAGGGCCCAGCCGAGGCTCCGGGAGGCGCACGGGCGGCGGCGCTGGGGAACGGGCGGGCCGGGGGTGGGCACGGCGGGCACCCCCACCCGGAGCGCGCCCCGCCCCCTGTCATTCGTGCCCGTGGCTCGCGGAGGCCGCCCAGCCCCGTTCGCTACCAGACCTTGCCAGGGCCACGCAGGCCCCGCCGACCCCCACTTGCCCGGAAGTTTCTGTCCCGCCCGCTCCAAGCGGGGGCGCGGGGCTGCGGGCCAGTCAGTCTCGGTCTGTCCCGGCGTGCGAGGCCACCCACCAGCCTCGAATGATCAGCGGCGGCAAGGCCGGGCCAGGCTAGGCCGAGCGCCCGCCGCGCCCGCCGCTGCCCACCCGGCCCAGACTGCGACCCCGGCGCCGACCCCAGCGCCGCGGACTCCGAGCCGCGCGAGGTCTGCCGGGAGCTGGAGTCCCGCGCGGACGGCCGGACCACAACTCCCAGGAGGCCACGCGGCGGCGCTGCGCGCGCAGCCCTAACCCGTCCCGCGCGGACCCTGAACCGAGGCCGGTTCGGGGCGGCTAGGTCAGTGGGAGCTGGACCGGGGCGGTGCTGCGTTCTGACAGAGTGAAGTAGGACTCGTGGATGGTGGGGAGAAGCAGGGGAGCAGCTCCTCGCCCGCACGCACCGTCAGCCGAGAGAATGGCTCGCATGGTGCCGGTGACCCGGAGCGACTCAGGGACAGCCTCAGGCTCCCAGGCCTTCCTGGGCCACCGGGCATTGAAGAGGGCGGCGGCTGGAGACGGTGGGGACACGGACGGCGGAATGGCAGAAACCCAGGGCGCGCCCCCAACGGCGCGCCGCGGCCACGCCCCGCCGCGGGAAGGGGCGGGGCAAGCTCCGGAAGTGCGTTGCGCGGGCGCCACAGCGTCTCCTGCCCTTCGTGGCGCAGCTGGGTTCCAAGCGGCTTCGCCCCCGGGCGCCTGCGCAGTGGCGGTTTCGGAGACGCCCTGGGTTGCCGTAGAGACGGGGGCTCGGGAGCGATGTCGCGCTCGCGGGCTCTGGCGAGGCTTACAGCGCCGCCGCCACTTCTTTCCGACGCCACCAGAGCGGTGCGGGTTCGGGGATTTGGGTCACGCAGATTTGGGACGACTAATTTCTTCTTCAAAGACTCAACTCTGCTGTCATAAGTCGTAAAAGTTGTAAATCAATCCCACCCCCTCTTATTACCGCAAATCGCGCGTTCACCCTGTTTGGAAAAGTTTAAGCCTTAGCCAGTCGGGATCAGTTCGATTGTGCGGTGCAACTCCCCGCAACAGGGGAAGGACGCGGAAACCGCACCGGTTAGGATTGAAAACTGTGCCTCCTTTCGTTCGGTGTACTCTTGAGATTGTAGCAGACGCAAGCCTCTCCCTTCTGCAGAAGTAAAGGCGCCTTGCTGGGGAATTTCCTAAGTCCGGGTTTCTTTTGTGTACGCCGAGCACTTGTTTCCAGCAAATCTTGGGGGCTTCTCTGGAATCCTGTTTTCCTTTCGGAGGGGCTCCCCTCTGCCTCGTTGTGGTGGCCCCGGGAGCGGAGGAAGTGAGGAATAAATCCAGACTCTCAGCAACGTGGGCAGTAGGAAGGATCCTTAAGAATTCCGAGGAGACCAGATAACTGTGCACAGATCAAGGTAAGAAACGTCGCTATTGGGACAGACAAAGTATTCCTTGGTGGTCAGGGTCTCTGGAAGTTGAAAGTGTGTGAGAGGCACCATTGGGCACGAAGCCAGTGTGGAGTCCAGACTTGGTTCCGTGGTCACCTCCTATGGCTTAGGGTGGTTTTCCAGTCGAGGGATTATACGACCCGCCAATGCTAAGAGGGGCCTAAAATTTCTGCGAGGGAAGTGGCCATTGAGGACAAAGTGAGTGCTCACACAAGAATCCTCCAGTGGGAAAGAGGAGGTTGAGCCTCCGGGACACGGGAGTGCAAGAAACCACTAACACGAGGGATTGAGCCTCACCAGTCTCCAGGGCCGGAAATACCCCAAGTAAGATAGGGACTCTAGAAGGCCAAGCAGAAAATGAAATTCCCTGACATGAGTCCCCTAGGCCTTATGTTAAAATACTGGAAGGTTGATGAAAGGGCCAGACACAGGAACAGACTTCAAATGATAAAGTATTACTGTTTTTTTTTTTTTTAAAGAAACTTGATATTTATTTTCCATGAATCTTATATGTTAAGAGCCCACACAAGAACAGCTTACGACCATTCAGTGGTTGCTCCTACCCATTCAGTGGCCTGAGCAGTGGGAGCTGCAGTCCAGTCTTCTGTGGCAGGCTGGGCGCTCCAGTCTTCAGTAGGGAACTGCTGGATAGGCACAGAGGGCACCTGCACACCTTCAGACCAGTCGGCAACCTCAGGCTGAGCCGCAGTGAACTCAGCTGGAGCAGTCCCTTTGCCCTGAAATTCCTCTTTGGTCACAGCCTTTTCAGCAGCATCCTGCTCTTCTTTTTCAGTCTCTTCAGGATCTCTTTAGAAGTAGCAATCAGGCATGACCTCCTAACGGGTGTTCACGGAAATGGTGCCATGCATGCGCCAAACTTCAGCTTGCATCCACCACATCAGACCCACTGAGTGAGCTCCTGCGTTATTGCATGGGATGGCAATGTTGACATAGCGCAGAGGAGAATCTGTGTGACACAGAGCAATGGTAGCTAGGTTAACATAAGACTCCTCCGTGAGAGGCTGGTGGTCAGCCCTGGGGTCAGTGACCACAAGCAGCCGTGGCTCCCGGAAGGCTGCCTGGATCTGGTTGGTGAAGGTTCCAGGAGTAAAGCGGCAGCAATTGGAGTGGCTCCAGTGGCAGCAGCAAACCAGCACAGCCGTTTGGCCATTCCTGGATGATATGACACTGACATCAGCAGGGTTTTCAATGGCAACAATGGCATGAGCTGCCTGGAGAAGCTTCTCCCAGGTCCTCTTCAGATTTGTGATGTAGATGCCATCACTTTTCCTTTTATAGATATACTGCTCCATCTGGAAGTCAAGGTTGGTGCCACCTAAATGAGTTCCTGCTGCCAGGAACTCAAGGGCATCAAGGGCTCCGGACATTGTGAAAGTTTCCCTTTAAGTTACGACGGGAACCCAGAACAACGCTGTACAGAGCCCTCAGCAGGTAGTGCTGAAAGGAGTATTGCTGTTTTATTTGGACTAAGGAACCCATCCTCAGACCTTTGGTCTTTTGGCCAAAGTGGGGTCCGACGAGGACAGAATATGCCAACTCCTGACCCAGTATGTCAGTGATAAAAGTCCAGTTTCTCAAGAGGAGATAGATTATGCTCTGTGTTGGAGACAAGGGCCTGTCCTTCTCTATCCCCTAAAGGAATTCAGGGGATAAAAGCAAAGCCAAACACAAAACCCCCACAGACCACCTTCCCCCACCAACCCCTCCACCCCAAACTGAAGTCAGCCCTTCCCCCACCTACCCCTCCACCCCAAGCTGAACAGTCAGCCCTTCCCCCACCTACCCCTCCGCCCCAAGCTGAACAGTCAGCCCTTCCCCCACCTACCCCTCCGCCCCAAGCTGAACAGTTAGCCCTTCCCCCACCTACCCCTCCACCCCAAGCTGAACAGCCCTTCCCCCACCTACCTCTCCACCCCAAACTGAACAGTCAGCCCTTCCCCCACCTACCCCTCCACCCCAAACTGAACAGTCAGCCCTTCCCCCACCTCCTCCTCTGCCCAAGCTGAAAACTCAGTCCCACCCCCATATAACTGTTGTATCTGACCAAGCATAGAAAGTCAACACCAAGACAAAAGTATGCCAAATTGCAGGGTTTATTGCTGGCGACCACAGAGGACTCACCTCTCTCCAACCTGTGGCAGAGAAAGAAGGGTGACAAGACCTTTTTATACCCACAAAACCACCTTGGGAGTGGGGGTGAGGAGCGGAGATGGGATGAAAGACTAAATCATCTCCTAGGCTGAGACGAGGGTGAGGGGGGGCTCCAGACATTCCAAGGGCTAGGGGATTACTTGACATTTAAGAGATTTACAGAAATTAAGATAACCATTTGCTTACACATCGTCTGGGTAGGGGTTACTTGGCCCTAGAATGGAATTATCGGCAGGGGGGGGTGCTTACTCTGGCCATTACCAGTAAACAGAGGCCAGCAATTCTGGCAGTTACAGATAAGAGAAAGTAAGCAGCTTTACCTCTCTTTGCATTTTGCAAGGTAAATTAGCAGTTTACAGAAGCCAAGGTTAGCAGTCATTGTGAGGAGAATGGAAACGGTCTTGTCTCTTTATAAAATGGCATTGTACAGGTTCTAACTCTAGGCTAGCTATATCACATAACCCTGCCCCATGGGCCTTAACGTCCCACTGGACAGCCCCGGACACACCCCTCCTCAGGAAAGCACCAGGGGGAGATAGAACAATGCTAAAGGGACATTCAAAACCCTCCTTTCCCCTCTTCCTCAAGAAGTCTCCCCCAACCCTTTTTCCCTTCAGGGAAGTACCCCTAGGAGGAGGGGGTATTGGTTTTGTAAATGTCCCCTTAACAAGTTCACAGGTTAGAAATCTGAAAAGGGAACTGAAGCCACTGTTAGGTGACCCTTGTGGACCTGTAGATCAAATTGACCAATTTCTGGGGCTACAACTGTACACTTGGGCTGAACTGATGTCTTCTAGGTATTCTCAGGAGAGGAAAGAACCGTGGCTCAGGCTGGTCCAAAAGCAGTGAGTTATCTCAACTGATCGTTTACGGTCAGTTACAGATCGAACTCCTTGTTCTACTCTTTCCCCCCTTGTCACTACTACACTTGACTAGTCTTTAAAAAAAAAAAAAAAAAGACCCATGACCCACAGGGCCATTATGGTAGTCTGGGAGTGGGAGCACCCCCTGCTCAGAATGTCCTTGCAGTGGAGCATAAATGCCCAGCCCAGGACCCTCAATGGGATAACAACACTGTGGTCCACCTAGAAAACACAAGACCACAGGGACATGGTAATGAAAGGGGTTCCAGAGTCAGTTCCTCGAACCCCAGATATTTCCTGAGCATTTAATGTACAACTAGGGAAAGGTGAAGGGCCTGTGGAATTCTTAGACTGAAGGAACAGATAAGAAAATAGGCAGGTTTGGACATAGAGGACCCACTAGGACCAGGGCTGTTGAGGCTCCACTTGGTCACCAGTAGTTGGCCAGACATTGCAAAGAAATTACAAGAGCTAGAAAACTGGAAGGATAGTTCCTCTTTTACAAGAGGCCCAGAAGGTAGATGTAGGGAGGGACTGAGGAAAAGCAGAAGCAAAAGGCAAAAATTATGCTGCCCACCCTACAGCAGAGAACTCTTCAACAGGGATCCCATGGAAGTAGAACTCGTAAACCTCCTAACTGCCGGGCTGCCAGACCCTGCACGGGAAATGAAGTGATGAAACCCAAGTCAGGGAGCAGGGAAAGCAGGTGTTTCAGGGGTGGAAAGCCAGGACGTGCTAAGAAGGCATCTCAAGTGGGAGAGGGAAAAGAAAGTCCTTGCACTCATGACACGAGGAAGAATGGGGGTCATGGGCTCTTTGTCTCCCATCTCGATTCCCACCCAGAGTCCTTGAAACACTTAAAGGCGGGACCCAAATCAGAGACAGTTGCTTTCCCAGTCGATTCAGGAGCAGCTCCCTCCTCTCCGTTTGGGCGCCACGTCTGCCAGGAACTCTTGACCAGCAAGAGGGTTCCAACCTGAATGGGGAGTACGCTGGAAGTAATAAAGGAGACAGAAAGCGGGGTCAGGAGGAATGAAGAGACATTGCTCTCTCATCAAGTTTATTATCTGAGGGCTAAAAATATATACTTTTCAGGGTCTGATTGACGTCATGGTAAGGAGAAAAATAAGTAGCTAAATCATCGATTCTATACAATAAATTGACAGCTAAGTGAAAGGTGGCTATGGAAGATAATATCTTTGGTGCTTATAAGCAAGTTTCTTGTAGCAAAAAAGTTTGTTCCTCATGAATGCAGGGGGCCATCTGGTTTCACCCATCTGGTTATCTTTTAGCTAGATTCTCCTTTTTTCCTGTCCTCGACTTCCCTATCTCTACTTCTCTCTGCTTCTGGGGTCAACCTCCCATAAGGTAAACACCTTCTTTGCAGTCTCACATGGGAGGATCCCCAACACTCCCTGTTTTCTTCATCAGGTTTAGCCCATTCAGCAGAAGACCTTGTTGTCTCAGGAGTTAAGAGGGAAGGATTCAGGGAGAAATTCTAGAGGAAAAAGAAGTCAAATGTAAGAATAAGTGGATCACTATTAAGTTCTTGTTAATTCCCGAAGCAGGAACCAATTTATTAGGAAGGCACTGAATGTTAAGGTTAGACTTAGGCCTGTGTGTTAATTAGTCAGGGAAAGTTCCTTCCTTCCTTAAGCCTGGTGAGCAGGCCTAGGTCTGTGTGTTAATCAGGGAAAACTCCTTACTTCCTTAAAGGAGTAAGAAGTTTTATATACACATCCATCCTGACCTATGGTCAAAGGAAGGAACTTGAGGAAAACTACGGGTTCCTCCAATCCATGTCAGATTAAAAACTCCCAGGGAAGTAGTGAAAAGGAAACAGTACCCTAGTCCCTAGGAAGCCAGGATAGGGCTGAAACCTATCATTGAAAGCCTTGTCCACGACAGACTCCTTGAATCCTGTATGTCCTTCTGACAGTACATTGCCTATAAGGAAGCCAGACGGGTCATACCGGCTAGTGTAAGACCTCGGGCTATTAATCGAAGGTTCCCAGTCCTTACACCATTGTCAATAGAATCCCACACAACCAGCAGGAACTCAGGAGAATCTTAGGATTGGTTGGATATTGTCATCTGTGGATTGACTCTTAGCCTTAAAAAACAAAGCCCCTGTATCAAAAACTCACTCAACAAGGGCCGTACCGCCTCCTTTGGACCCCATCTGAGATCCAACAGGTAAAAGATCCACCAGGCCAGGTGTGGTGGCTCACGCCTGTAATCCAAGCACTTTGGAGGCCAAGGCAGGTGGATCACCTGAGGTCAGGAGTTCAAGACCAGCCTGACCAACATGGTGAAGCCCTGTCTTTAAAAAAAAAAAAAAAATTAAAACACCTACTTGTGACTGCCCTGTTTCAGCCTTGCCCTCCTCAGAAGAGCCATTCCACCATCTCATTAACGTAAGCAAAAGGAGTGGTCCTAGGGGTCCTCGCCCAAACACGGGCACCAGCAGTAGCCCATAGCCTCTCTGTCCAAACTCATTGACCCAGTAACCTGTGGATGGCCCGACTGTTTCCAGTCCGTAGCAGCAACTGCCTTGCTAACAGAAGAAAGCAGGAAAATAAGCTTCTGGGGAAGCCACCTCGCAAGTGCCCCCATCAAGTTAGAGCCATTCTGAATCAGAAGGCAGGGAGATGGCTCCATAATTTTAAAATATGAAGCTTTCTTATTAGAGAGGGACAACTGAATACTAACACCAAGGATTCGCTCAACCCTGCGGCTTTCTGATGGAAAATGCAAACCAGGAAGAAGCTGAGCATAAATGCTTAGATCTGGTCACCTGTCAAACTAGAGTCAGACTGGGTCTCAGTGAATCCGTCTTCCAAACAGGGCGCCGCCTCTTTCTAGACGCTTTCTCTCAGGTCACCGAAGAAAAAAGGCACAACGGGTATTCCACGTGGATGAGGAAACCCTTACACAGGTAGAGTCAGAAAGACTGCCAAGTGGCTGGTCTGCCCAAACATGCGAACTCTTTGCGTTAAACCAAGCCTTAAAGTCCCTGTAGAATCAGGAAGGAACTGTTTACATTGACTCCAAGTGTGCCTTCAGAGTAGTCCATACCTTTGGGAAGATCTGGACAGAATGAGGCCTCATGATAGTAAGGGCCAACATGTGGTCCACAAGGACTTAATTCTGCAAGTACTAGAAAACCTTAAGCTGCCGGAGAGATGGTGGTTGTCCATGTCCCAGGACACCAAAAGAACCCACCTTTTGGAAGCTGGGGAAATTACCTCACAGACCAAGTAACCAGGCAAGCTGCCTCCTCCCAAGAGGCACCCATTTTCCATCTAACCTTTTGTCCTCCGCTCCAGCTGCCATCCTCATCTTCTCCCACGCAGACCAAGATAAACTTTTTTTCTCTTTTTTTAAGAGATGGGGTTTCACCATATTGATCAGGCTGGTCTTGAACTCCTGACCTCGTGATCTGCCCACCTTGGCGTCCCAAAGTGCTGGGATTACAGGTATGAGCCACCTCGCCCGGCCTAGACCAAGAGAAACTAAAGAAAACAGAAGCTAAGGAGCGCCCAAGGGGAAGTGGGTGCTGACAGATGGAAGGACATGCTGCCTCAGCCGTACAAGCTCCGTGGATGCCTGTGGGTGTGTGCTGATAGAGCCCCTCGCTAGGCAAGTGGCGATGGTTGCAGAGTGTGAAGAAAAACGAATATGCAAACCCTAAAGAGGCAGCCTCCCAGGAGAATAAACGCAGGGTTGAGGCCGTTCCAAAGCGTCCGAGTTGACTAGACTGAAAGGCCCCCAGTGGGCCCTCCTAAGATTTACTAGGGATAGCAGACCATCTCACCCACTGGATAGAACCACCCGCTTCCCAAGCATAACAGCAGGCATTAGTCAAAGCCGCGTTGGAATGTGTCATCCTCAGGTTTGGACTAATAGCAAACGTTGATTCCGACAATGGGGCCCACTTCAGTGCACACATCATTAAGGGGCTAACCCAAGCCCTGAGAAGATGGGAATATCACATTCCCTGGCACCCACCCTTATCAGGGAGGACAGAAAGAATAAATCGAACTCTAAGAATTCGTCTCACCAAGTTAACCTTGGAAAACCAGTTACCATGGACAGAATGCCTTCCCATTGCCTTACTAAGAATCTGAAGTGCCTCTGGAAAAGATCTTGGCCTGTCCCCTTATGAGATGCTCTCCCGTCTCCCTTATCTAAATTCCACTACTAACCTTCCTACATTTGAAACAAAAGATCAGTTTCTCAAAAACTATGCATTTGGTCTGTCTTCCACCCTTCCCTCCCTCAGGACTGAAGGCCTCCTAGCGAAAACTCCACCCCTCGAATTCCCAGTTCACCAGCATCAGCCCGGAGATCTCATCCTTATCAAAAGTTCGAAAGAGGGAAAGCGCAAACCAACCTAAGGATGGACCCCACACACACTCGAGTAAAACCAGCCCCACCCCTACAAAGTCATGGACCATCACTCCAGCACCAACAGCCTCCAAACTAACATTCAGAAAGGTTTAATCTGTCTTTTTCTTCTTCCTTTAGCTCCCTGAGACATCATCAATGTAACCTGATCACCCTCCCCCACAAACAGTTACATTCGATGCCTGTCTTGTCATGCCCAATGGGAATCTCCAAACTCAGAGACAGCTACAGTCTTCAGAGAAGTTCCTCTTCCCCTCTAGGAAAAGCAACACCACCCCTGACTCTTGCAGCGAAGGAGTACAAAGATTCCCGCTTTGAGGACAAGTCCAAAGTTGGGGGTTTTGCTATACTTGGGGAGATGTTCTGTGGATTGCCACCTATCAGGCTGGACCTCCTGGAAGGATTGTGCCACCCTAAAACCCTGTCTCTCACTGGCACGGTGGCTCATGCCTGTCATCCCAGCGTTTTGGGAGGCTGAGGCAGGCGGATCACTTGAGGTCAGGAGTTTGAGACCAGCCTGGCTAACATGGTGAAACTGCACCTCTACTAAAAATACAAAAAATTAGCCAGGAGTGGTAGCAGGCGCCTGTAATCCCAGCTTCTTGGGAGGCTGAAACAGGAGAATCGCTTGAACCTGGGAGGCGGAGGTTGCAGGGAGCCAAGATGGCACCACTGCATTCCAGCCTGGGCAAAAGAGCAAGACTCTGTCTCAAAAAGCAAACAAAAAACCGCTATCTACACTTTACCAAAGGAACCACCCCTTCTAATTGCCAGTGTCACCATTGCAACCTAGTCCTTATCTCCATTAATGTCCCTGCCTCCACCACCCTAACCCTGCCTCAGAGCACTTCTGTGACCTAGTAGGAGCCGGTGTCCCTGAAAAGGTCCCTATGGGCATCTTTGAAATACTCTTCGTTCCTCCCCCTCCATCTTCCCCCATTACCCCTTCCCAAACTCACACAATCAAACGATTTCTTGCTTCATCCCCAATGACAAAACCAAAGTAGCCACAGTAGAAGTCAAGGGCGTGAAGCAAACTAGCCATGGAAACCAGGTATCAGGATGGACATGCCTGGCTGGAACGGATTAAGTATTTCGTTCACACCCTAAATAAAAGCAGCTGTTACTCTTGTTCAATGGGCAGGCCAGAAGCCCAGATTGTTCTATTCCCACTCAAATGGGCCAACCAGCCAGGCACGAACTTCATGGTAGCTCTCCTCCAGCCCCCCACAGCCTGGGGGACAAGTCTCGCCCTCTTACACTACTTTACCCAAAGGCCAGGAGCCCCATGAGACAGCACCCAGGACCATTCGACCTCCCGCCCTCAATGCCGTTTACCTTGTGTCTCTTATGGCAGGGGTAGAATTTGACATTTCTTGGAAACCTCATGGGATGTAGTGGGCCTAAACTTTTTCAAGAGCTAACCACTCGATTGGCCCTCTTCTGTCCCCACATGGTGAGCGGTGGTATTCAGTCGGCCGTGGCCCATCCCCGCGTGGATGAGCGGTGGTTTTGCTGGGGACCAATATGGGGTTCTGTGCCAGCAACAGGAGCAGCACTTGTGCTCTGGCTGGTAGGCCAGCCCTTCCACGTTGGCATTTCATCAACCAGACAGGAAGCAGTTGCCATGAAGGAAAAGAGAAGACCCCCACACTTACATAGACAGTAACAGGGCACATAGGGGTGTCAGGATCCTGTGAGGGGTACCAAATGAATTCAAAGCTCAAAACCAAACAGCCACCAGGTTGAGTCTGCCTTGTGGTCTGCTCGAAATAAAAATGCTGACTTGTTGGGGAAATGGCGTTGGAGGGAGCGCTCACAGAGTGCCACGTGAAACGGTTACAAGTCGTGGGAACAGTAAACTGTGGCAAACTGTGGCAGGTCTCCGGGGAGGCAAACTTCCCTAAGCCTCATGTTCCTGGTGCAGAGTGACCTTGACTCTGATACAGAGCATCACGTGCTCAAGGGCGTCAAACCCCTTTTGTAGCATCACAAAGCAACCAGACTTGCAGGCTCCTTGTGAGACTCACTCCCTCCAGCTGCGCCTAGAATACAACCTACACGGCCGACTGAATAACCACACGTTTCTGCTTTTCAAAGTTTCCCACAAAGCCACTACTGCCGGCAGTGTTTAGAATGACGGGCCAGCTCCCATTCACCGAGGAATGTCCACCGTCACGCCACCCCTCCCCACCATCACCTCAGCTTCACCCACCATCTGCTGACTGGTCAGAGTGATTGTAACCAATAAATACTGTGGAGAACCTCAGCTCGGGGACTTTGCTGCTTCCATTACAAGTGATGCCCCCCCCCAGACCCACTTTTTTTTTTTTTTCTATTTTTAATATATATATTTTTAAATATACAGACAGGGTTTCACCATGTTGGCCAGGATGGTCTCGATTTCCTGACCTTGTGATCCACCCGACCCGGCCTCCCAAAGTGCTGGGATTACAGGTGTGAGCCACCGCACCCAGCCCCACTTTTGTTCTTAATTTTGTTCTCATTCCTTTGTCGCCGCTAAACTCAGGGTACCCACAGGTGGGGTGTAGGGGCTCCCCGAGAGACTGGATAAATTACATATATTACAGTCAGCAGCAATTTGTCAATTATAAAGAGATGCCATCAAGGGAATCGCTGAACAGTTAGGCTCCAGCAGCCAGATGGTCGGGAGAACAGAACTGCCGGGACATGATGTTGACCAAGAAGGGCGGGGTCTGTGTCAGGGTCAGGGTTCCGTGTTGTGCTTTTATCCATAATAATACAGGGCTCCGACGGGACAGTCACAAAAGCCCTACAAGGCCTCACCACCCTAGCAAATGAATTATGCAAAAACTCTGGACTAGACAGACAACCCCTTTACAGGCCTTATAGAGATGAGGTTTGGAAAACGGAAAGGATTTGTGGCTGCTGTAGCATTCCTTGTATTCCTGTGTTAACCCAAAGGCTCATGGAAGCGGCTCTCACAAAAACCTCCCTTGGGCCAGGCACAGTGGCTCACACCTGTAATCCCAGCACTTTGGGAGGCCCAGGCGGGCAGATAACGAGGTCAAGAGATCAAGAGCAGCCTGGCCAATATGGTGAAACCCCGTCTCTACTAAAAATACAAAAATTTAGCCAGGCATGGTGTGCACACCTGTAATCCCAGCTACTCAGGAGGCTGAGGCAGGAGAATCACCTGAACCTGGGAGGCAAAGGTTGCAGTGAGCTGAGATCGTGCCACTGCACTCCAGCCTGGGTGACAGAGCGAGACTCCACCTCAAAACAAACAAACAAACACCTCCCTCATGTCTCCTCCTCTGTACGCAGATAAGCTCTTCCTCCTAGAAATTCAAGAAGAACCACAAAGCCAAATCGCACTGAAGGAATTTGAAGAGGAAGAACTATCACACAGAAGAGGGGAATTGATGGAACACCTAATTTCCTCTTCAGAGGTTCAGCTTTCCCGCCATCAGTAGTAAAAGTTGTAAATCGATCCCACCCGCTCTTCTTACCACAAATCAAGCGTTCACCCTGATTGGAAAAGTTTAAGTGTTAGCCAGTCGGAATCAGTTCGATTGTGCGGTGCAACTTCCCGCAACAGGGGAAGGACTCGGAAACAGCACTGGTTAGGATTGAAAACCGTCCCTCCTTTGTTCCACGTGCTCCTGTGATTGTAACAGGCACAAGCCGCTCCCTCCTGCGGAAGTGAAGGCGCCTTGCTGAGGCATTTCCTAAGTGCGGTTTCTTTTGTCTACACCGAGCACTTGTTTCCAGCACAGACCTGGACACAGTGTGACACGGCAGTCCTGGCCCGTCCTCCCGCCCCCGGTTCTGCACCCAGAGGTGGATGCATGCTTCTTGATGTTCCTGCTGAGAGAAGTCTCTGCATTTCTAAACAATGCACTGCTGTTTTCTCATTTCTTTTTTTTTAAAGACGGGGTTTTATCGTGTTGGTCAGCCTGGTCTTGAACTCCCGACCTCAGGTGATCCGCCCGCCTTAGCCTCCAAAGTGCTTGGATTACAGGCGTGAGCCACCACGCCCGGCCTTCTCATTTATTTTTTTATTTTGAGGCAGTCTCGCCCTGTCGCCCAGGCTGGAGTGTAATGGCGCGATCTCAGCTCACTGCAACCTCTGCCTCCTGGGTTCAAATGATTCCCTTGCTTCAGCTTCCTGAGTAACTGGGACTACAGGCACATGCCACCACGCACAGCTAATTTTTGCATTTTTAGTAGAGACGGGGTTTCACCATGTTGGCCAGGCTGTTCTCAATCTCCTGACCTCTTGATCTGCTGCCTCAGCCTCCCAAAGTGCTGGGATTACAGGCTTGAGCCACCGCACCCAGCCTCTAATTTCTTTTTTTTGTTTCTTTGTTTTTGAGGCAGTGTCTTGCTCTGTTGCCCAGGCTAGAGTGCTGTGGCACAATCTCAGCTCACTGCAACCTCCACCTCCCAGGTTCAAGCTATTCTCTTGCCTCAGCCTCCCAAGTAGCTGGGATTACAGGCACCTGCCACCAACCACACCTGGCTAATTTTTTTTATTTTTAGTAGAGACGGGGTTTCACCATCTTGGCCAGGCTGGTCTCGAACTCCTGAAATCTTGACCCACCTGCCTTGGCCTCCCAAAATGCTGGGATTGCAGGCGTGAGCCACTGTGCCCGGCCTCATTTCTTAACTGTAGACACCACATTCTTCCAGAGAAGGTCCCTGAGAACCTGGCTGTCCTTCCTTAGAGCACTCCCCAGGGGTCCTCTGAGCTCCCAGTCAACCTGAAAGGAAACTCAGAGGCGGGCTCTCCAGGACAAGCAGGTTCATCTGTGAATGACAGGGGGTTGCAGCCTGGGGTATTCATGTCAAGACTGGTCATCAGCCTACCTGAGGGGGAGGGGGAGGGGAAGAGGGCGCTGGGGCAAGGGGGGAACACAGATGAGCTCACAAATGTTGTTTTGTAACAAAACCTGAGAGGGAGACCCCCTGGCCTCCTTCTGTTTCCCGGTCTCCACCTCCTCTCTCCACTCCCCTCCAGATGGGAAGGAGAGGGAAAAAGAAAAAAATTAGCAAAGAGCTGGGAAAATGAGTCCCTTTTCAGCTGGCAGGGCTCTGCTATCTGTAAGCCTTGAAACTGTTGTAAATGCATGCTATCCCTGGCGGCTGGAGCGCAGCACTGAGTCCCCCCAATGTCTGCACGACCCAGGCTCCCTCCTGGAAACACCTCTCCCAACTAATAAATAGCTTACTGCCTTTGTGCTGTCTCTGTAAGCCCCTCCCTGCTGGGCCCTGCTCACGCTCTACATGAACTAGCAAATCAATGAAGCCAACAGATGGAAGGTGGGATGTCCAGCGTCCTGCCACCACACCCAGCTAATTTTTGTATTTTTAGTAGTGACAGAGTTTCACCAGATTGTCCAGGCTGGTCTCAAACTCCTGACCTCAGGTTATCCACCTGCCTCGGCCCCCCAAACTGCTGGCATTACAGGCCTGAGCCATTGTGCCTGACCTGATCTTTTATCTTGAATTAATGGTTACCTGGTATTTCCACATACCTAGCTTTTTACTAACCCACGGCCAGTTTTTTTCAAGCGCCCGAACATTTTCAACACATGCCTAACATTTTCCAAAGGCCCACACACACCGTTCCGTCTAACTGACCCTCCTGTTCCAACCAGACCAATGGCTTCTCGACTCTGTGGCAGAGTCTTTATCTCAAGCTCTTCTCTGCTGTCATCCTTGAGACTCACCTTGCCTCTCTCCTTTCTTGGGTTCCCTATGTAAACAAAAAATAAGATCCTAAGCCCTCTACCAACTGGTTTTTGTTTTGTTTTGCATTTCAGACAGGGTCTTGCCCTGTTGCCCAGGCAGGAGTGCAGTGGCACAATCCTGGTTCACTGCAGCCTCCTCTGCTTCTTGGACTCAAGTGATCCTCCCACATAAGCCTCCTGAATAGCTAGTACCACAGATATGCCCCCACCATGCCAGTTATTTTTAAATTTTTAGTAGAGATGGGGTGTCACCATGTTGCCCAGGCTGGTCTCAGCAATCTGCTCACCTCCACCTTCCAAAGGGCTGGGATTGGCTGGGCATGGTGGCCCATGTATGTAATTTCAGCATTTTGGGAGGCTGAGGCAGGCAGATCTCTTGAGGTCAGGCCAACATGGCGAAACTCCGTCTCTACTAAAAAAAAAAATTAGCCAGGTGTGGTGGTACACACCTGTAGTCCCAGCTACTCAGGAGGCTGAGGCAAGAGAAATGCTTAAACCTGGGAAGCAGAGGTTGCAGTGAACCAAGATCTTGCCACTGCACTCCAGCCTGGTGACAATGAGACTCCGTCTCAAAAAAAAAAAAAAAAAGAAAAAGAAAAAAACCAAAGTATTGGGATTATAGGTGTGAGCCACTGTGCCCAGGTAGCTGTCCACCAACTGAACAGATCCTCTCTTGGCCGAGGGGATGGACCCCAGAGAAATTTTTTTTTTTTTTGAGACAGAGTCTGGCACTCTGTCACCAGGTGCCAGGCTGGAGTGCAGTGGCGCAATTTTGGCTCACTGCAACCTCCGCCTCCCAGGTTCAAGCGATTCTCCTACCTCTGCCTCCCAAGTAGCTGGGAGTACCAGCGCACACCACCACGCCCAACTAATTTTTGTATTTTTAGTAGAGATGGGGTTTTGCCATGTTGGCCAGGGTGGTCTCCATCTCTTGACCTCATGATCCACCCACCTCGGCCTTCCAAAGTGCTAGGATTACAGATGTGAGCCCCTGCGCCCAGCCCCACGAGAGAAATTTTTGAGACATTGGTGATGGGAAGGGAGGTCAGACACATCTCATTATACCCAAACCTTTTTGGAGCTTAGACACAACAGCTGAGCAGCACTAATGTTAAAACAGAGATCATGAGACTGATGGAGCCGACTGTTTATGGTGATAAGATATGAGTTATAAACAAGACAGAGGGCGATGCCAGGTAAGGGTGGCGTCACACAGGCCATTAATTTTGCCAACTGGGTCACAGTGCAGCTGACACTGAGCAGAGCATGTTTATCTTAACCTAAATGTTAAGCTGACTCTGCTGACTCCAAGTTTTAGACGGAGCCTCATTCCCTCAAGCAACTGCAAATTAAAGAATCTCTGGGGCTGGGTGAGGCGGCTTATGCCTGTAATCCTAGCACTTTGGGAGGCCGAGGCCGGTGGATCACAATCAAAAGATCGAGACCATCCTGGTCAACATGGTGAAACCCCGTCTCTACTAAAAATACAAAAATTAGCTGGGTGTGGTGGTGCGTGCCTGTAATCCCAGCTACTTGGGAGGCTGAGGCAGGAGAACTGCTCGAACCCGGGAGGCGAAGGTTGTGATGAGCCGAGATCACGCCACTGCACTCCAGCTTGGGGAATGAGCAAAATTCTGTGTCAAAAAGAAAAAAAGGGTATCTCTGGATCCATCTATAACCTAGACGCCTCTGCCTTGAGATCTCCCACCTTTTCAGGCCAAACCAATGTGTGCCCTCCATGTATTTATTTATGTCTTTGCTTCTAATTCCTGGCTTTCTAAAGTGAACAAAACCGAACTGAACCATTTACTCAAGGCTTCTCGGATTAATGTTTTCCTGGGGCCCACACTCATTCATGCTGGCTCAAAATAAACCTCTTGAAAGTAGTTTGTGAGGCTGGACGTGGTGGTTTACGCCTGTAATCCCAACCTCCCAGGAGGCCGAGGTGATCGAATCACTTGAGCCCAGGAGTTTGAGACCAGCCTGGGCAACATGTTGAAATCCTGTCTCTACAAAATATACAAAGATTACTTGGGCGTGGTGGCACACACTTGTGGTTCCAGCTACTCCAGGAGCTGAGGTGGGAGAATCGCTTGAGCACAGGAGGCAGAGGCTACAGTGAGCTGAGATTGCACCACCGCACTCTAACCTGGGAAACAGAGTGAAGCCCTCTTCAAAAGAAGAGGGCAAAAAGTATGCTTGGACTTTGTTCAAGGGAGCTTTCTTTCTTTTTTTTTTTTTTGAGACGAAGTTTTGCTCGTTACCCAGGCTGAAGTGCAATGGCGCGATCTCGGCTCACCACAACCTCCGCCTCCTGGATTCAGGCAATTCTCCTGCCTCAGCCTCCTGAGTAGCTGGGATTACAGGCATGCACCACCATGCCCAGCTAACTTTTTGTATTTTTAGTAGAGACGGGGTTTCACCATGTTGACCAGGATGGTCTCGATCTCTTGACCTTGTGATCCACCCGCCTAGGCCTCCCAAAGTGCCGGGATTACAGGCCTGAGCCACTGAGCCTGGCTCTTTCTTTCTTTTTTTTTGAGACAGAGTCTTGCGTTGTCACCAGGTGCCAGGCTGGACTGCAGTGGCGCGATCTCAGCTCACGGCAACCTCTGCCTGCAGGGTTGAAGCGATTCTCCTGCCTCAGCCTCCTGAGTAGCTGGGATTACAGGTGCCCACCATCACGCCTGGCTAAATTTTTTTTTTTTTTTTGTATTTTTAGTAGAGATGGGCTGGTCTTGAACTCCTGACTTTGTGATCCAGCCACAAAGTGCTGGGATTACAGGCACGTGCCACCACGCCCAGCTAAATTTTGCATTTTAGTAGAGACGGGGTTTCACCATGTTGGCCAGCATGGTCTTGACTTCGTGTTCCGCCCGCCTCGGCCTCCCAATGTGCTGGGATTACAGGCGTGAGCCACTGAGCCCAGCCCTGCTCAAAGGAGCTTTCATACACAGCTGGACTTCTGAGGTTGGACCTGCCACATGCTGACTCCAGCAGCACTCTGAGCAGTGTCTTCCACTGGCGACGTCCTGTCCTGAACATCTCCAATTCGACCTCTCTCCTGAAAGGCTGTGTGCGACTTCTTTGTGAAGCCAGAAGGAAGTTCTGGAACGTCCCCTTCTCCTTTGGTGCAAAATGATACTAACTGTTCATGATGTCGTTTCCTTTTTTTTTTTATTTTTTTGAGGCAGAGTTTCACTCATTGCCCAGGCTGGAATGCAACAGCACGATCTCGGCTCAACGCAACCTCTGCATACCCGGTTCAACTGATTCTCCCGCCTCAGCCTCCCTGGTAGCCGGGGTTACAGGCGTCCGCCACCACACCCAGCTAATTTTGTATTTTTAGTAGAGACAGGGTTTCACCATGTTGGTCAGGCTGGTCTCAAACTCCTGACCTCAGATGATCCGCCTGCCTCAGTCTCCCAAAGGGCTGGGAGTGTATTATTTGGCCAAGTGTAGTTTTACAATATCAGAAAAGAGAGCAAGACAGGCTCCTCTGAATTCTCAGCTCCAGGTGGAGAGAGGGACCCTGTGAATGTGCTCAGTGACACCCACGGAACTGCAGAAGGCAGGGGCCGCTCACTGTCCCCAGCAGCTGGTCACTAAGTAGGCTGGAGGCTGGAAGTTCCTGTTAATTTTCTAGAAAGGTGGGCCTCCTGGCAGGTTCCTGAAAAGAAAATAATGTTTTAAGAAAAAGAAAAAATGGGAGTATGTTTGAATTCAAAAAAAAAAGAAAAAGAAAAAAAAAATAGGGCCTGCAGAGCTCAAGCACACCAAAGAGGAGGGAGCGGGCAGAGCAGAGCTTTCCTGAGGACAGGATGTGGTGCCCTTGGCCAAAAAGAGGACATAATGACAGGAGCAGCAGGAATGGGAGCACCAGCGCAGCCAGTGGGCAGGGGCCAGGCTGATCCCGGGCTGGCCAGACCACCTGACACCTGACCAGCCCACCCCTCACCTGGCCAGCCCACCCCACACCTGACCGCCCCACCCCGCACCTGGACACCCAACCCCACACCTGGCCGCCCCACCCCTCACCTGGCCACCCCACCCGGCACCTGGACGGCCCACCCCTCACCTGACTGGCCTGCCCTGCACCTGGCCGGCCCGCCCTGCACCTGACCACCCTGCCCCTCACCTGATTACCCTGCCTTGCACCTGGCCAGCCCACCCTAGGTCAGTCTGCTGATCCTGTGCTGAGCAACCTGGCCCAATCCTCATCCTGCCTTCCCCATGGGCTCTGGTTGTCTCTGGCTCCAAATGGAGTCTTTGTATGGAGCAGAAACAAGACAAAGAAAAGCTGGGTGAGCCTCACCTGTGCCTTCTCACTGATATTGCTGATCCTCGGAAAAAAGCAGATTCTACTCTTCTCACCACTCCTTCTAATCAGTTTGATGCATTTTAGGCAAATGCTGCCATCTTGCCAAGGCTCACCCTCCTGGGCATTGGAGGTCAAAAAGATGGCGAGCCCCTGGGGGACACCGGGGGCTATAGGTCCCTCCACTTCCAGGTTCCCTCCATAGGGTATTGCCGCAGCAGACGCCCCTGGGTGGGCCCTGGCTCTACTTCCTGGCCTCATGGATCCTCTGAGCCTCCGCTTTCCTCTCTGCACCAGGGGCAGCCAGTGGGCAAGTGGCCCTTTGGGCCTGGCTGCTGCCCCTCACTGGCCAACTTACAGGTGTCTGCACTCGGAGTCAGGTGGTCAAGGGGTGGGTTCCAGGCCAGGTTCTCTTCCTGTGTGACCCGGCCACCACCAGGCACAGCTCCTTTCCTAAGTGGAAAGTATCTGAACACCCGAGGGTCTGCTGTGCTCCAGCCCACTTGGGTCTAATGGAACCACTGGACCTGAAGAAGCTGCCCAATCCCCACTGCTCAGAACTGGGTGGGCTGGGCCTCCTTAAGGGGACCCTGGAAGCTGGGGCTACTCCATCACTGTCCCACCAGGGAGAAAACAGAGGTCTGGGTGCTGGGGCCGTGGCTTCTGGCCTGCTGACCACCTGCCCTAGAGACGTTCTTCAAAGTGCTGCAGGCCAGGCTCACGCCTGTAATCACAGCACTTTGGGAGGCCGAGGCGGGTGGATCACCGGAGGTCAGGAGTTCAAGACCAAGCCTGGCCAACATGGTAAAACCGTCTCTACTAAAAATACAAAAATTAGCCGGGCGTGGTGGCGCGTGCCTATAATCACAGCTGAGGCAGAAGAACTGCCTGAGCCCGGGAGGCAGAGGTTGCAGTGAGCTGAGATTTCATCATCGTACTCCAGCCTGGGTGACAGAGTGAGACTCTGCCTCAAAAAAAAAAAAAAAAAAAAAAAGCATAGAAAAGAAAGGCCCAAAGGATGGGGGTTCGTTGGACAAAGGCTCTGCATGTGCAAGCTCGGCTCCGGGGCACCTGTCACTCTCACTGCAACAAGCAGCCGCACTGCGGGAAACAGGCATCTGGCAGCTACCTCTCTGCCCTCCCTGACGGCCCTGGAGGATGAGGCTCCTCCCAGCTCTTACAGCCACTAAGCCCTGGGCCTGGGATCTGTGGGGCCCCTCAGCTTCACCCTGTCACTGGCTGTGGATGCTCTTGGGGTGGGTCCCAGGAGGTCACCTCCTCCCCCAGCTCAGGCCAGAGATGCCCTCGCTGCAGCACCATCTGGTTGATTGGTTGGGCTGAGGCACCCGCAGGGCCTGGCTCCCCAACCGACTTGGGCCCAGGGAGGCTGAGATGACAGCACTTGAGAAAGTCACCCCCAAGAGGGGCTTTCAGGTTCTGATCCCACTGAGGTCGGCGGGGGCCCGGGCTCCAAGCCCAGGACCTGGTAAGAACAGGCACCCACAGAAGACCACTCCTCCCGACACCAGCGCAGAGCCAGCAAGGGCTGCCCACCTCTCTGCAGGGGCTGTCCCCTCCCTGGACTTTTGGAGGCATAACCGGAGGTTGTGAAGGGCTCTCGGGGGCCATGTTTCTGGAAGAGAAATTGGTCACTGCTGCTGGAGAAACGAGAGATCCACAGGAGCAGGAAAGAGCAGTTCGAAGGAGCCCTAAGGGAGACGTGTGCCAGGACGCCTGGATGCTGAAACTGGCACCCAGCTCCCAGGGTGAAGGGGCTGCAGGCCGGGGGGGTGGGCATGAGAAGTGGTGGCTGCTGCCCTAGGGCTCTCATTCTCAAAGCTCATAGGCATCGGCGCCGTTCCCCAGGTCCCCAGGGACCCACATGCTCAAGTCCCAGCAGGCCCGTGCCAGCCGCAAGTCACCCTAGAGGCCCTGGCCAGGAGAACACCACGTCCAGAAGCTCCCCAGACTCCAAGTCTCCACTGTTGCTGGTGACTTCCGCTGTTACTGGTCCAGCCTTCCCTGCCAAGCAAAAGCATTTCCCACCCGTCCTAGAGCTGGGGCAGCTGAGGGAAGAGGGGTCCCCGGAGGTTGGCCTGCCTAGAGGGCCAGCAGCTTCCTTGCTACAGGGAGGACTGAGCCCTGTGGCCCAGTCACTGGTGTAGTGAGGGGATCGGGAGTGGCTGGGTGTGACCTCTGAGGGGTCCCCTGGACAGACACCCCTCCAGGGACAGAAGGGCCTGAAAGGACAGGGCAGCACTTCCTGAAGCAGGGACCCGTTGGGTGGGGCTCATGCTGCTGCAGAGGATGGGCCGCACTGGGGGGCAGAGGGACGGCCTTTCAGAGTCAGTCTGCTGCTTCCGAGCAAGAAAAGCGGCCAAGAACGTCTGATAGTTATTTTTCTGACACCTTGTATTTGTGATCATGATACGAAGTCTGCTTTATAAAGCACTCCAGGTGAAAAATGAACTAATTTAAAGAAAACGGGTAGTGACTGTCAGGATGCTGGTGTGGGTATGATCAGCATGGGAAGTGAGTGCACGTGAAAGGCCACCGGGGCCCAAGCGCAGGCCCTGAACAGAGGTTGCCCCCTCCCCCTCCTCCTGGCCCCTCCCTGTCCCCTTCCCTCCTTCCTTCCTTAGGGCTGGCCCCAGCTGGCCCCTCCTGGTACCCAGTCCCCATGGCTCAGCCACCAGAGACCGGAAAACAAAGCTTTCCTCTCACAGAATCGGTTTCTGCCTGACACTCTGCTAGCAGCCCGAGGGGCCACTCCTTTCTCTGCTGGTCCCCTCTTTCCTCTCCTCGGGCCTCTCATCAGGAGCTCAGTCCTAGGACTGACTGCAACCGCAGACCCAAGCTGGAGGCCTGATGCAAATCAGGCAGGAGTAGCCTCATAGGGGTCTGCAGGGTCTGCACCCCAGGACCCTCAGATGCAATGGTCAGAAACCCCGTGTTTCTGTGTTGACAGTCACTTTGCAGTGCAGGATCCACATGCTGGAAGCAGGTGGGCTGGGCCGGCTTCATTCTCCCACTCTTCCCATGACCCACCTTCAGGGTCACTGCAGCTGGAATCCAACACCTGTCAGCAAAGGCCTTGAGGCTAGAGAAGTCTAGTCTGGCTGGTCAGGCCCAGGTCACCTGCCAACTCCTAGGCAGCGGAGGGTCATCCCCACCCAAGCTTCCCACGGACTGAGAATGGATAAAGGGGGCTGCCCAGAGAGAAACAGAGGTGCTGCTACAAGAAGCTGGAACGATCATGGCACATGGCAAAGACCCCAGCTGCCCTCAGGCCGAGATGCAAGGTAGCTGGGGGTCACCCACCCCACACACCATCATGCAGGCCCCCGCCCTGCCCCACTGCCCTTGCCTTCTCACCTGGGGACAGATGGGCTTCCACTGGAAACTGGTGGCAGCAGGCCAGGTAAAACCCCGGGGAGTTCCGGGCAAGGACAAGGGGTTCCCTGGGGCAGCCACCGAATCACCTCATGATGCTGGGGCAGGAGTCGGAGCCCAGGGTCTGCCCTGCCTAAGCAGAGGTGGGAGCTGCGGGCAGGGAGTGCCAATCCCAATGCCTCTGCCCCCAACCTCTCCCTGCCAGGTGCAGAGGCCTCAGCAGATCCTGCCAGGGGCCCAACATCCGGGAGAGGTGGTGTGGGGTAAGAGCCCTCCATGCCGGGATGGAGGACCCTGACTGCAGGGACTGGGGGCCTGACCGCTGGGTCTGGGCTCTGCTTGGAGACCCTGAGATTCTGTGCTGCCCTGGGTTTTTCACGATGACTAAGAGTTTGTGAGGCTGGCTGGGGACTCCGTGAGGGACAAGGACATGGCCATCCAAGGGTTGGGGACCAAGGACACTATAAGCAGAACAGACAGTCTCTCCTTGCGGTACCCCCAGGGGTGAGGAGAGCAACAGGAAGGGTCGCGGGAGCTCAGGGTCCAGTTGCCAGAGACCCCTCCCCACCCCTGCAGGACCAGAGCTGGCTCAGCGGAGGTGCCGGGCCAGCCTTGGGTGCGCGGCTTGGCTCAGTTTCCAGTTAGGGCAGGCCGGCCGGGCCGAGCCAAGTCCACATCCACAGTTCCCGGCTGTCACCCTGGCCCTGGAGAGGTGTCCTAGTTGCTGGGTGATCTACGCAGGGATGAGATTGAGGGGTCAAGGTCTTGGGGTGCGTCCAGCCTTCCCCTCCCCCATCGGTGCCGTCTGCCCAGTGCACAGGGTGGGCTTTTTAGATTCCCTTTGTCCAGTCCTGATCTCCCCGCAGCGCCTCTGCGGCAAGACGGGAGCGATGAGGCAGGGAAGGTCGGCGCCTGGAGCTGCCTGCGCTGCGTGCGGAGAGAAGGGACTTCTTACTACGCGAAGCCTGGGCTTTCCCCCGGCGGGCGCTGTCCATCCCGAAAGGAGCAGAAGCCGCCGGGCGAAGGAAACATTCCCTGCGGGTTCCCACCCCTTCGGTACGAGCAGCACCCTGGTTGTGCCGGTCCCGGGCGGCCGACGTTGGGGAGTAAGGCCCGGGGTCCGGCTCGTTCCAGGCCACTGCGCCCCCTGCGCGAAGCAGGAAGCCCCGACTGGTGCGGCCACTGGCGGTCGAGGAGCTGCACGACGCGAAACGAAGTCGGCCGCGGCTGGGTAGAAAGGCTCGGGGGAGCCCCGCGGGGGCGAGCGAACGGCTGGGGGTCCGAGGTACGCTTGCTAGGCGGGAAGCGGGGGAAGCGCACCCGCGGCCGCCTCGCCGAGCGCCCCCAACCAGCGTCCACGACACCCGCAGGCCGCGGCCCGGCAAGGGTTAAAGGGGGCGGGGAGAGGGGCGGGGCCGCCTCCGCCGCCGCGCCGGGTCCGAGCGCGCACGGGGCGCGGGGGCGGGTCGGAACAGGCGGCAGCGGTGAGGGCGCGGCGCGCCGGGGAGCGCGGGGAGCGGGCAGCGGGGACGGTGGCGGCGGCGCGGCCCGCGTGACCCAGCGCCGCGCCCGGGTCCCCGCCGCGCCCGGCCCAGCCGCAGGATGCGCGCCCCGCCGCTGCTGCTGCTGCTGGCCGCCTGCGCGCCGCCGCCGTGCTCCGCCGCCGCCCCGACGCCTCCGGGCTGGGAGCCGGCGGCCGACGCGCCCTGGTGCCCCTACAAGGTGCTGCCCGAGGGCCCCGAGGCGGGCAGCGGGCGCCTGTGCTTCCGCAGCCCAGCGCGCGGCTTCCGCTGCCAGGCCCCGGGCTGCGCGCTGCACGCCCCGGCCGGCCGCTCCCTGCGCGCCAGCGTCCTGCGCAACCACAGCGTACTCCTGCAGTGGCGCCTGGCCCCGGCCGCCGCGCGCCGCGTGCGCGCTTTCGCGCTCAACTGCTCGTGGCGCGGCGCCTACACGCGCTTCCCGTGCGAGCGCGTGCTGCTCGGGGCCTCCTGCCGCGACTACCTGCTGCCCGACGTGCACGACGGCGTTCTCTACCGCCTGTGCCTGCAGCCGCTGCCGCTGCGCGCCGGGCCCGTCGCCCTCGCGCCGGAGCCCCCCGAGCCAGCGGAGCCCGCCGAGTGCGTGGAGTTCACCGCCGAGCCTGCCGGCATGCGGCACATCGTAGTGGCCATGACGGCGGTGGGCGGCTCCATCTGCGTCATGCTGGTGGTCATCTGCCTGCTGGTGGCCTACATCACCGAGAACCTCATGCGCCCGGCTCTGGCGCGCCCCGGCCTGCGCAGACACCCCTGAAGCGCGAGGCTGCCTGCCCGAGCGCACCGGAGCTCCCAGGTTCTCCGCCCGCTCTCCTGTCCTCGTTCCTGCTGCCTCCTTGAGATCCCTGCAGAGGAGGGCCTGCCGGCGACGACCACTGCACCTTGGCATCACCGCACGCCCCTCCCAGCCGGGCGTCAGACTCCCAGACTCCGGCTCCGGATTGGCCCTTGGGCCTGCGCTGCTGTGCCGGCCGCATCCAGAGGCCTTCATAGATGCGGCCAGGGCATGGCGCCCCTTCCAGCAAGAGCCATGGACACTCCGGATCACCCCGCACCTCCATCCTGTGCCAAATTGTCCAAGACGGACCGTCGCCATTGCTCGGTCACTGTGTGCTTTGCAGGCCCGGGGCGTAGCCCTCGGATCCTGTGCTCCCCACCCCACCCCACTGGGCTTAGGTTAGCTTCGTGCCTTAGTATCTTGGGCCCACCGCAGGAGCCAACACCCCCTGCTGTCCATGGGGGTCTGTGGCTCTGAGATTGGCCGGCCCCTCCATGCATCTGGCCAGCGTCCCCTCGGAGACACCCCCGTTCCAGCGTTTCGGAAGCATGAAGTGAGGGCCTGCAGCGTTCTGTCCGTTGAGGGTGTTCGACAAGCCGGGAGCCATGACGTGGGAGACCTGGCCCACGTTCCCCCGGGGTGAGTGTCCTCTGACCGGGGGCGGCTGCTGGTTCTTTAGGACCGGGCGTCCCTTTCCTTTTACGCGTGCGGTGTCTGACTAGGACTTCCTGTGGGACTGGGGATAGACGGCCGCAGTCAGCACAGGTCCAGTGCAGAACGTTAGATATCAGCCTCGAGCAACCTGGCCTTCCATTGCTGCCTGGATCCCAAGCCTCAGCAGACCCAGGCAGCCTCGGCGGCCATGGTGTGACCGACAGCACCACGCCCAGCCTTTGCACTCCTAGGGGTTGAGATCCAGGATCTGGCCCCAGCAATGCCACCCGCCATGGAAGCAAAGCCGACCCTGCCCACCTGCTGCAGACCCGTATCCCTGGCTGAGGTTGCTTTCTGTGACGCCCACCTGGTGACGTAGGACACTGAGGGGTATGGCATTGCCCTCCCCTCCTGGAGCCCCTAGCTCTGACCACCTGGACTTGACCTGGCGCCTTCTGGTCACTGTGGCCAAACACCCACTCTCACTCCAGCCACCCCGGGCCCCGGCTGGTGCCCCGTGACACCTGCAGCCCACCTCTGCCTTTGCTCCACCCACCCCTGCGTGGCGCTGGTCAGGCGCAAACCTGGCGTCAGTGTCTAAATGTCCATCATCCTCAGACCAACAGTGCTGTCTGTGTGTTTACTTGGGAGGTGGGCGGGAGGAAAAAGGACTCCCCTTCTCCCTGCTCCCCTGGGGCCCTTGGATACCGGTGGGTGGCTGGCCCAGAACCTTCTGGCCTGGGTGGCTGCAGCGGCTGGCAGGACCGGCAGGTGTCTGGGGCTTGTCTCTGCACCTTCTTGTCCTGGGCCAGCTGTCTCTGAGGGGGTAGGGGAGGTGGTACGTGCTGTGTTTAGAAATAACACATTCCCACAGCGATCCACTTGAGCTGTGACAGCAGCAATTAGGTTCTCCAGAGGGGCCCCCTCCCCGCCAGGGCCTCCCTGTGCAGAGCTAGAGCTGGGACGGGGGTTGATGGGCAGAGGACAGCCTGGGGCTCCTGTGTGTATCTGTGCTGAATGCCACTCTTCTTCCCCTACATCCTCTCCCAGGCTGTCCTTGAGTCACCTGCAGAGAGGGGTGACCCTGAGGACACAAAAACAGGTGGGGGAGGGGGAGGAGGAGCCCAGCTCTGAGGATGACTCATCCCTGGAAGGGGGTGCAGCCCTGTGTCTAGACAGCCTGGAGGGAGTGGAGGCTCCTTCCAGCCACCTTCTGCCCTGGGGCCCAGGCCACCTGCAAGAGTGTTTCCATGTCTTCTCCTAGCAAAGGTAGTGCCCAGGGAGCTGGAGACATATGGCTTCTTGGGGAGCAGCCGGGAAGTTCTGGGGGCTCCCAGGCCTGTGGCAGGATTCTGGCTTGTTTGTGAGCTTGGGCTCACACCGGCTACAGCCATGGGCCTGTCCTTTCAGTTCTGGGGGGCATCTCAGAGGCCTGGAGTCCAGCTGAGGGTTTGCAGAGGTGGACGAGCAGCCTGCAGGGCCCAGGGGATAAGCCTCGGCCTGGGAGCAGGTGTTCCTGCTGGGGTGACTGCATCTGAGCTTGTGGTCACTCCCACAGACTGCTCGGTCCCAGCTGGCCACCCTTCTGGGAGTGGGTGTCTGTCTCTGTCTCTCCCACCCTGCTCTCTCTGGACTGTGGCTGTCTGCTGTTCTGATTTGGTGGCTCAGGCTGGGGTGGGGGAGTTGGGTGGACCATGGCTCTCCGTGTAGCACTGGCCATATGCCGTGGAGCTGGAGGGCAGACAGCTCCACCTAACCTTTCTCACTGGTGCCTGGAGGTATAATTGGAGCTGACACTTTTCCCGTGTGGAGCAGAAGGCACCTGCTTCATCCTGGCTCATCTCTGCCTGCCTTTCAGGAGGCACGAGCCTTTCGGCGCCCTGTTTCCTTGTTTCCATGTGGAGTGGAAACAGCAGGAGCACCCGCCTCACAGATCGCCAGGTAGAGGTGAGAATTCTAAAGGACCCTCAGTCATTTAGACCCAAAGCCCAAACATTTTTTTAAAAAATTAAGTGTCCAGGCACAGTGGCTCATGCCTGTAATCCCAACACTTTGGGAGTCCAAGGTGAGCAGATCTCGGGAGTTCGAGACCAGCCTGGCCAAGATGGTGAAATCCCATCTCTACTAAAATACAAAAATTAGCTGGGCGTGGTGGCGGGCACCTGTAATCCTAGCTACTTGGGAGGCCGAGGCAGGAGACTTGTTTGAACACGGGAGGCAGAGGTTGCATTGAGCCGAGATTGTACTACTGTACTCCAGCCTGGGAGAGAGACAAGAGCAAAACTCCATCTCAAAAACAAAAAACACAACAGAACAACTGATGGGCAAAGCCCAGGAAGGAGAATTCAGAGCTGTGGCTACTATTCCTACTCTCCAAGAAAACCTGCAGCTCTAGAATTTCCATGTAGAGCTTTCCCAGTTCTTGTCTGTATTTTCCTGCCTAATGTGAATGAGCTGCCATTTCTGCTTGTATTGAGATAAAGCTCACTGCTATGGCATTCTAGCCAAGATTAAAAACAAAAATTCAAGGGGGTTTAAAATTACTGGATTTACAAATTACAGTAGCTCTGAGGCAACCAAAACCCTAGACACGTTTTGGAAATGTAAATTTAAGTTTGGCTGTCAATGGCTACGGTGATAGAACAGTTAACTGAAGAATTGAAATACCGGAAGAAAAGGAACTAGAGAGATGTTTACTAAAGTTAGGCTCTGCTGGGAGCAGTGACTCATGCCTGTAATCCCAGCACTTTGGGAGGCTGAGGCTGGAGGATCACTTGAGGTCAGGAGTTCGAGGCCATCCTGGCCAACATGGTGAAACCCATCTCTACTAAAAATGCCAAAGTTAGCTAGGCATGGTGGCACATGCCTGTAGTCCCAGCTACTTGGGAGGCTAAGGCAGGAGAATTTCTTTAACCTGGGAGGCAGAGGTTGCAGCAGGCCAAGATCACACCACTGCACTCCAGCCTGGGCAGCAGAGTGAGATCACTC